GGATTATAGATTACAGATCAGATTGTCACTGCTAAAAACACAAGGAGAAGAAAAAAAGTTATTTTTCAAGTAATTGAACATTTGATCCATTTCTATCAACCCATTTATTGTGAAATGTAAAGGACAGCGTTGGACGGCTACGATACGTCTGACATTTTTCTGCACATTTTAGTGCACAATTTCTAGTTATTTGAGTTTCACACACTGAGGAAAAAATATAAAATGTTGCTTAAACTTAGCACAGGCCACATTTTATGTTTAGAGGTACTGTGCAAAAGTCAGAAAACACTTTATTTATTTAATTTCCGGTAAAAATGGCCATTAAGTAAATTTAATTCATTTTTATATATTTGATATATAGATGTAGATATTTGTGAGGAGGTTAGATATAAAATAATCCACTTGCATTACGAAGGAGAAAGTCAAAGGGAAATAAGTGAAAAAACATAAACTGGAGTATAATATATAATAAAATATAATTAATAATTTTTATAAAAATGATTAAAAGCTACAGAGAAAATGGGACTCCTAACAGCCACCTGGAAGAGCTGGTCGACACCAAAACTGCCCCCATCAGATAAACAGCACTTAAAGCTTTCATCTTTGAGAGAGAGGAGAAAATCAAGCTGCTTCAGGGTCGGTGTCCAGCACAGTTTAGAGGTTTCCCAGCTCAAACAGACCCACTTAACCTGGCAATTAACAGATAAGTGTAATCAGGTGTGTTGGAGCAGGTAAATCACCAAACTGTGCTGGACACTGTGCTGGCCCTCCAGGGCCGGAGTTGTGCACCCCTGCTCTTTACCTTAATTATGTTTATTTTATTAAAACAAATGAATGCACATTACAATTTGTCACTACCAAAACAATCACAACATTACCGAAACTCTATCAAACGTTTCAGTAGTGACTGTTTCGGTAGTGAGAATTTCAGCTCATTTTGAGCAGAACTCAAAAACACAGCCAGTACGTGAACACAGCAAACACAGCTTTGAGCAGCTGTTCACACATAAAATCATCATATCTTCACTAAAATGTAACAATTTTACTTAATTGCAGAAAACGCGTTTCGGTAGTGACAGTTCTAAATATTCCACACTGATTTTCAGAATTTGGGACACTTCAAAACACTGGGATCTAACTGCTCACAATGTGGCCATGAGGGACAGGGATGCAGCCTGACTTTCAGCTTTAAACACAGGGGCGTGGCTAAAATAAGGCCCCGCCCACATGCTAAAACTCTTTGTGTTTCGGTAGTGACATAAAAATGTGGTTCAGCATATTTTTAATAAAGTTTTTTTTTTATTTAACCTTAAGATAGTGAGTGTAAATGTAGGGGTCAGATTTTGAGCCACACACCTCCCAATAGAAAGAACCTTGTAAATGATTTTGTACATGTTTAGCTTATTACCATCTCTATTAATGCCTCAGGTTTAAATAGATCAGAAAGTAATCCTTGCACATATCTAAGGTCTGAATACTTGACTGTTTTTTTAGGTTTTTACTGTAGGAGCGCAATAAAGAACTGTCTCAGTTCTCAGGCTATTTCCGAAACAATGCATTTCACGTGTTATGGAACTCATATTTTAGCTTGAGACAGTGAGAGAGGGCAGGTTTCTGCATTGTGAGATGTGGGGGGCGGGGGGCTATAGAATCATATCAAAGTGAAAATTCCCTCAGATCAGCTCCAGCCTATCAGACTCGGCCTGTTTAAAAGCAAGTCAAATCCACAGAGAGCCCGACACAAACACAAACTCACACCTCACACTCACTCACTCACTCACTCCTCTGTCACTACAGCCTTTCTAAACTTCCAAAAATCTATGATATTTACCTGCAATAGCATAGATCTGATAATGCTGATAATAACTGCATAACTGAATAGTTTACAGTCATTCAGGGTGGTTTGGTGTGACATGGTTCAGATATCTTTACAGTGGTAAAATCCCTGGCTTATTACATACTAAGGCTTATTATTCAGTAACTCCAGGGACTTCAGTGCAAACTGGCTGAGCTATTCTTGGGTTATAGAAGCATGTAATAAAACTTTGGGCCTGCCAGCGGACCCTGACCATTTAAGGGGTTAAAATTGGTATTTTGGCCAAAACCTTAAGACTAACATAAAACAACATCTCAGACGTCAGGCAGCGTTTTCATAACTTTCTGTGATGGAGCTTTTAGAGGTGGATGTCTGGTTCCTATCACCACCGCTGTGAACAATTCTGACTGTGCAAGTTCCTCTAAAACGGAGCATTTCGAACCAAACCACTCTGAATGACTGTGTTTACATCTCAACCATTTAATTATGCAGAAATGTGGGGGACGTGCCCAGTAGAATATTGGTGTTTAAAACGTCTAGTCTAGATTTGTTGCTGTATTTACATGCAGGTACACAAATCTGCATTCGGATTACACTCTAAATCTCCGACAGGTTTGAGTCTCCGCTTCTGTCTGTTTTTCTGTTTGTTTCAATGAAAAACACACGGCTGCTTTTTTTTTTTACGAGTTTTTAATCTCGTAAAAAACAAGACTGTACATGCCACAATAAGGTGGAGTCAAATTCAAATCACAGTAAAATATCTCCTCTCCTGCTTACAAACACAAATGTGGTGTAGGATGAAAGTTTCAATGAACTACAAGTGAGAAATGCTTCAACAAGAGGCGTTTTTAAGGTGTTCATGCCATGCAGGGTTAGTATGAAGCCAGGTTTAGAGGTGATATGATTGTCTCCACGTTGCATTACAGCAAAGTGGCTTAAATTCTGAAGTATAAACTGATTTAATTGTTTCTGTGGTAACTTTCTTGAGAGCCCTGGCTTTGTTTCGTGGGAATAAGCTGATTCAGTGGAGGGAAAAGCTGCAGATTTACTGTGTACCGCAAAAACAAAGACGTACTGAAGATCCTCTGGAGATGGATAACTAGCATTATTGAACAAAGTGGAGATCAAGCACTTTTGAACCAAGTGTTCTCAAGTGTTCCTCGGCTGCACTTCAGTTAAAAACATCTGAAGCCTACTCCACAAGGAGCGTTCCTGCCATCGGTTTCTTCTTTCTCTCTTTGCTTCCCCCTTGCTTTTTTAAGTACAACAGGCCCTATCTGGATTCAGGAGTGTGTATGCGGCTCCACGCACTCGCTGACCTCCACACAAGCACTTAAAATGACAAGCGGCGAAATGTCACCAGGGCACTCCTCCACTCCGAACAGATTCCGGCAGACGGAAAAGTTCAAGCGGCTCAAATCAACCCCTGGACGCTGTTTGTTTAGCGCGGCTAGACAGAAAGCCAAAGCGGGGCAAGACAGGCTCCGGCTCGAGAAAAAAAAAAACAACAGACGTAATCTCAGAGTCTTTCTTCTCTCAGCCTGTCTGTGCTGACCCGTGGCATCATTTGCATAGCACTTCTACAGAGTCATTGTGGTAGATGATGGGAAATCCCATAATAAGGCCTGTAAGTGGATTGTCATAACATGCTCTGTTCAAGATATTCCATAATAAGACCTGAATATGGAATACCATAATAAGGCCTATATGTGGGACATTATAATAGAGGTTGTATATGGAATGTCGTAATAAGACTTCTATATGAAATCCCATATTAAGGCCTGTATATGAATTTTCATAACATGCTCTGTTTATGATATTCCATAATATGACCTGAATATGGAATGTCATAAGACCTGAGTATGGAATACCATAATAAGGCCTATTTATGGCATGTTATAATAGAGGTTATATATGGAATTCCACAATAAGGCCTGTATATGGAATGCCATAATAAGGCCTGTATATGGAATGCCATAATAAGGCCTGTATATGGAATGTCACAATAAGGTCTTTATATAGAATGCCATAGTAAGGCCTGTGTGTGAAATGAAATCCCATAATAGGGCCTGTATATAGCATGTTATAATAAGGCTTGTATATGAAATATTATATGGGATGTTATAATAGAGATTGCAAATGGAATTCCGTCTTCATATGGAATGCCATTATAAGGCCCGTATAAAGAATGTTATAATAAGGTCTTTTTATAGAATGCCATGATAAGGCCTGTATATGAAATCCCATAATATGGCTTGTATATGGAATGTTATAATAAGGCTTGAATATGAAATATCATAATATAGCTTGTATATGGAATAATAACATCCTCATACTGAATGCCATTATAAGGCCTGTATGTTTAATGTCACAATAAGTCTGGCTTATGTGGGTTCTGGCACTGTATGATATACTGTTATATATAAACATGGACAAAATTTCATTGCACAGCCAAAAAGCGTAGCAGTCATCTCAAAGCCTGAATTTTTCATTACTTTTGTCCAATTAATGTAGTAAATTTTGGACACCAAATATGTCTTGGCTGATCGAGCACAACTGGGAGAAAGGCGAAACTGGGAAAATGTGATTCTTCACCAAACTACTGCTGAATACAAAACTGATCTCAAATCCACCAACACTGTATATCTGTATCTATACAGTTCACCAACACTGTATATCTGTATCTATACAGTTCACCAACACTGTAGATCTGTATCTATACAGTTCACCAACACTGTAGATCTGTGTCTATACATTTCACCAACACTGTAAATCTGTGCCTATATATTTTACAAACACTGTATATCTGTATCTATACAGTTCACCAACACTGTAGATCTGTATCTATACAGTTCACCAACACTGTAGATCTGTGTCTATACATTTCACCAACACTGTAAATCTGTGCCTATATATTTTACAAACACTGTATATCTGTATCTATACAGTTCACCAACACTGTAGATCTGTATCTGTACAGTTCACTAACACTGTATATCTGTATCTATGCAGTTCACCAACACTGTGTATCTGTGTCTGTACAGTTCACCAACACTGTATATCTGTATCTGTACAGTTAACCAACACTGTGTATCTGTATATGTACAGTTCACCAACACTGTGTATCTGTATCTGTACAGTTCACCAACACCGTATTGCTGAATTGTCTCTGTACTTTCCTCAGGGAGGTCCTGAGGGAAACCATGGCTGATGATGAACTCCACCAGAGGGACCAGTGGACTCTGTTTGGTAACGAGGCTGAAAAAGTGGAGATTGAGGTCATCAGGAACCAGCACGAGGTCCGTAAACGAGTGGACCGCATGGCACTGCGCAGAGAGGTAAGGCTCAGATGGAAATGACGGAGGACTCTCTGCACACAGCTGGAAAATTCAATCCCAGAATATTAGCTGGATCGGATAAGTTAGTCATTCAACCCCTCATAGCTCATAGTAATTTATAATAGTTGAAATACTGTGAATAATTCACAGTAGTTACTAAATAATTCATAATTCATAGCACATACTGAACAATTTATAGTTTGTATTGGATAGTTTTAGTAAGTACTGAATAATTCACAGTAATTACAAAATGTTCAATAGGCATTGCTAAGTAACAGTAGTTACTGAATAATTTTACTAATTAATGAATAATTGTTGTTGTAACTAATAATTTTAGTTGCTTTTGAGCAATTCATAGACCTTACTGAATCATTTTAGTAGTTACTAATTTATCCATAGTGGTTACCTAATATTTTAATATAGTTTAATATATTAAAATAATATTATATATAGTTTAATATAGTTTAGCACTACAGAGCTTTTGTAGGAGCTGCTTTCTGTCTGACCATTTTCACTCTTTCACTCTTTCCACGTTCTGTCTCTGAGTTGTGACTGGTTTGTGATGAATTTTCCATTTCTGGCCTCAGGCTCAGAGGAAGGCCTCGGCGCACCTGAAGTTTCTGGAAGACTTGAGCAAGAAGGCACCAGACTTTCCCATCCCCCTTCGTCCGCACACTGTGTGGGAGGGCATGGCGGTCAAACTGTCCTGCACTGTTCAGGGCTGCCCAACCCCACGTGTCACCTGGTGAGTAAGATCTGCACACATGTTCGAAAGAATCTTCAGCGAAATGGAAAAGTTCACAAACTTTTAGAACTTGATCCATATTTACAAGCCCTGAGATGTGCTAGTGGACGGCCTTAGGAGTAGTGCTGGTGCTTTGTACCCTCAGCTTCAGAATGTTAAAACATTGTCACACTCTCAGAAAAAAGGGGTACTGAACACTCACTGGGGTTGTTCCTTGAGGGTACAGCTTCAGTACCTTTAGTTAGGGAATATAACTGTACTGTAATCCATCACAGTTATAAGCTCCCTGGACAAAAAATTAATCACTTTGCGTGTTTAAGGTGGTAGTAACTTCAGGCTCCTGCAGATGGCGTTGCACGAGGATGATCGGGCTATAAATACCTGCAGGGTGTGCAGCGGGATTCATAGATTGAGAAGAGGTGGTACAGTGAAGTGAATGTCTCGTTCGATGTGTGAAAAATGGGTCGCAAAGCAGATGTTATGAAGGAAGTAGCTGAATTTGCAGGTGTATCGAAGCATAAGGTCACACGAGTCGACCAGCAGTGGAAAAAATCCCAGTCTACAGGAAATTCTCATCAGAATGATAGCCAAAAGACAAAACTGCCAGACAGGGACCACCGGTGTGTTTCACAGCTTGTGAATAAAAATTACTTCGTTTCCAAGCAAGAATTGCTTCTAGAAGTCAACGCATGTCCTTCACAACCAATTTCTGAAAGAACTCTCAGCAGGGAACTGCATACCATGAACATATGGAGCAGAATGGAATGCAAGAGGCCTTTGCTTGCTTCTGCTTACAGAGTTTCCTTGTTACAGTGGAGGAAGAGACACAGAAACTGGACTGCTCATGACTGGAAATGTGTTATCTGGTCAGATGAATCTGGTTTCTGCCTGTATGTGAGTGATGGTCGGTGTCATGGTCATCGTAGACCTCAGGAAGCCTTCAATGAGGACTGCATGCAGGTGTGGTTCAAGCTGGAGGAGCTCTGTGATGTTCTGGGGGTGTTTTAAATACGCTGAAATGGGTTCTTTGGTTGAGGTGACAGTAAATCTGAACCTCAGTGCCGACATTGAGCTGCTCGACAAGCAAGTTTTGCCTTTTGCTCATCATCTTACTGAGGAACATAACATTCCTATCCCTGAATTCCAAGATGACAGTTCTCACGTTCACAGGGCTGCAAATGTAACTGATTGGCATGATGAACATTCAGGAGCGTTCACACATCTGGACTGACCCGCAAAAGATTTGAATCATCTTGAAAATCTGTAGGATGACCCGGAACAGCGAGTAAGACGTCAGGGAAGGCTCCACGAAAACTGCTCAATTTGATGCAAGAGTGGCTGAACATTGATGTCGCCTACATCCAGTCCGTGCCAAATTGAATCACAGCTGTTATTCATGCTTGTGGAGGTATTACATGCTATTAGGTACATTTCAGTCACAGGTGACTTTTTATTTTATTGTTCAGTTTAAAAGATTAACTCCACTGAGAACTATGAAAATGGACAAATATGGACTTTCTCCCCGAGAAAAATATTATTTAAGGGACAAAGTTGGACCTTAAAACCACTGTTGTACTTTCAAAGGTACATCTGTGGCCAATTTCATTCCCTGTATTACCCAAACACCTAGAAAACATCACTTTGAAAACTTTTTGGTGAAATGCTCAATCGGTCATTTAATCTCATGAGGTCCTTCACACACTGTTTTTATGTCCTTCTTATGTTATATATATATATAACTTATGTTCAAATTTTCCCTGAACACATACCTTTTTTAGCACTAAACTTTTGCCCACAAACTTTTCTGGTGAAGAAAACTCATATTCAAAATATTCAAAGGAAATGTATTTCCAGATATTTTTCAAAATATGTGTCGTTTATATATTTGGGTATGAAAATTATTAAAAGTGACACTGTTACAGATATGTGCATGTACTGCTATATATTTAAATGTTCAAAAGTGGCACAGTTAAATATATTTAGCTCATGTATTTGAAAACATCACATCTATTGCACATATACTTTTAACATAAGCAAGTATATGTACACATTTCTATTGAAATTTCTATTTTTCTATTGAACCAGCACTGGGTTTGAAGGCCTTAATCGAGAACGGCTGTAAATGGCCCTGACAAAGAAGAAGGGATTCAATCTACAGCAATGCACCTGCTGCTAGTGGCTCTTGTCACTATACCACTCTATATCACTGCTGTCGGAACAAAACCTCATATCTCCATTTTTGTCGTTTTTCAGTTTTTGACATAATCTGAAAATGCCTACTGCTCTTCACATTGTGTGTAAATTTCATGATGAATGGACCAAAGGAAACGGCCCAAAATGACTTGGGAAAACGTCTGATTTCATTGACTTACATTAAAAGTAAAGTAGGTTTTTTCCTTCTCCTGTAAAGTTACCATTTTGGAGATACAAGGTTTTGCTCTGACAACAGCGATATGCAGATATAATACATTGTATACATATAAAAGTAAGTTAATCCTGTTGCAGTAATCAGATTGCAGATGCGTTATGAAAATAAGGTTACTGCACTTTTTAACAGGTACTGTAATGCATGTAACCCTCCCATCAGTGATGCCCGTTTACAGTGTTGGCTGATGCTCAGAATCTAAACCCTCTATAAGATCTCCGTCATCTGTGGATCTGAATATACTGTGTTTTTTCCTGGCAGGTTTAAAGACGATGTTCCTCTGAGAGTCTCCTCACAGCCCTGGAACTACAAACTGCTGCAGAAGTTCGGCCTCAACACCCTGGAGATCAGGAGGTGATTACACTCTGGAAATAAAGTTGGATTGAGTTCAGCTGATTGCATCTTATACTTCTAAATCAAGTCAATAAAGATAAAACTCATTTAGAAGTTTTAAGGCTTGTTTAGTGCAGTAGAGAAGCCAAAGGCCTGTGCTTCGAACTCTGTGTTCCACTTAAGTGGAAGAGTAATGAGAAAGCATAGCGCTAAATAATACAGCACATAATACATCTATAACTTCTGTTTACTTTCTTAAAGCGCCCATTTAATAGAAAACTGAATTTATTAGTTTTTTAAACATGAGTTTGATGTAGTCTGTAAAATTTCGGAAACTTTCAAAAACGCTTACTCCCCCAGTCCACATACGGGAGCTAAACTGCAAAAAAAAGGCACATTTTGAATTCATCATGGTTGTGATGTCATAACCATGAATGCATTTGTGCAGATGACATTAAAAAATCTTTTTTATTCAATCCTAGAAAGAAAACCAGAAAATTTAAAGAATTTCCACGTTTTGTGTTCATCATGGCTGTGATGTCATAACCGTGAATACATTTGCACAGATCATATTGAAAATCTGTTGTTTTTTTTCAGTTAATCCTAGAAAATAACAGCAAAATTTAAAGAATTTTCAGGTTTTGAAATCATCATGGTTGTGATGTCATAACCATGAATACATTTGCGCAGAGCACATTGAGCAGGTTTTTTTTTTCATAAAATCCTAGAAAATAACAGCAAAATGTAAAGAAATTTCCAGTTATGAATTCGTCATGGTTGTGATGTCATAACCATGAATGCATTTGTGCAGACATAATTGAAAATCTGCTGGTTTTTTTTTCATTGAATCCGAGAAAATAACAACAAAATGTAAAGAATTTTCACATTTTTAATTCATCGTGGTTGTGATGTCATAACCATGAATGCATTTGTGCAGATCAAGTTGAAAATCTGTTTTTTTTTTATTTATTTTTAGAAGACAACAGCAAAATTTGAAGAATTTTCAGGATTTGAATTCATCGTGGTTGTGATGTCATGATCATGAATGCCTTTGCAAAGATCACACTGCAAATCACTTTTGTTTTTTCATTTAATCCTAGAAAATAACAGCAACATTTAAAGAATTTTGAAAGAAATTTAAGTGTATTTATGACAAGCAAATTGAAAAAGAAATAATCAAGGTCACTATTTAAATTTTTAAATGATCTTTTCTGCGGAAACTAGTATTTAGACGACTCTCACGCAGCTTTTACACAAACGTGAGGAACCAGCTTGAGAGCCTGTTGTCATTAAAGTGAAAGGGGGCCACATCACCAAATACTAAGAAATTCTGAAATTCATGTAAATATGAAAGATTCTACTTTCCACTCATAAAATGCCTTAATTAAAAGAATGCAAGAATAGTGTTATTTTAACTAGTGGACTTAAGAGGGGAAAATAAAATGTAAAGGATGTAGAATAAGAGCCCCAGTTATTTGTTCCTAAAAAGCTCTCCAGATTTCTGTTGTGGCTGAAAGACACTTGTGCTGAGACTCTGTGGATGAATGCTGGTGTGAGGAGCTGAAGGAGAGTCTGCAGTGAGAGATCAGTGAGAGAAGGTCATGTTCCCTGTGCTTTGATCCTCAGGTGTAGCGCTGCTGATGCTGGAGAATACAAAGTGGTGGCTAAAAGCTCCTTAGGAGAGGCGACCACCTTCGCCACCCTTGTGGTGAACTGTGAGTGACTTTCAGTTTATCTTGACATTTTTCTTTGCCAAGGCTGAAAAAACTAAAGAAATATCTGAGAAAAGTCCTGTAAGGATTAACACACAGCTGTTCATGGTAGTCAAATGTTCTTATTAAAGGGGAATTCCACCAGTTTTCCAACATTTTAGCATAATAAATCAATTTAAACCTCATTCAGAGTGGTTTGGTTGTAGAAAACTTACTAAGTCAGAATTGTTCACAGTGGTGGTGATAGGAACCAGAAGTCCATCTCTAAAATCTCCCTCACAGGAAGTTATGAATACATCGCCTGATGTCTGGTATTGTTTTACGATCGTTTTGAGGTTTTGGCCAAAAAGCTTATTCATGATGGAGGGATACATGCAGGGTGTTCTATGGAAAAATAGTCCCCAAAGAAAACATATTTTTCAGATTTTCCACTATTTTACCATCATTAACATTCCATATAAGCTCAGAAGACTCCTGTAGGTTCACTGGTGGTTTTGGATAAAGTAAATAAAATGTCTATATTTGTGTTGTAGTCATGGCAACCCCTGGTTCCTATCACCACCACTGTAAAGACATCTGAACCATTTCACACCAAACCACTCTGAATCACTCTGTTTACATTTCAAACACTGAACCACACAGAAATACTAAAAAGAGAATTTCCCCTTACTTAGTAAAAATAAAACCCCAAACTTTTGACAAGCAGACTTTATGGTTGATTTGTGGTTCAGGCCTTAATCTGATAGAACTGATATATGACACTTCAAACTGTATAATCTACACTGTAAAACCAGAGAATGTTTTAGAAATTTTAATTTAATTAGAAAATGAGTTTGGGTCAACTTGAATGAATCAAAGCGATGATATTCAGTATAATTTAAGTAAAGTCAGTTAGTGAGGTTTTATAGAGCAGCGCTTTGAGATGTTTGCTTTATTCCAGTCTCATTTTAATGGAATATTTAAAGTGCTGTAATGGTGACTGGCTCATCAGCACATGTGACCGGACCACTGATCCATAACAGTAATGGAGAGTAACTCGGCCTTCTCTAGTGCTCACACACTGAAATGTAAAGAGACACTTCAGACAAGACCTGTCCTTTAGTGTTCTCATTAATGGACTGTTCAGAAGGAGTTAAAGGGAATGCCTAATGGGACGGCTAGTTAACACAAAGTGTTAGTATAGCAGACATTACTGCATAATGCAGTTGGTGTACACTAATCTTTAAAATATAATAATATTAAACACTGATGTGTATATATATATATATATATATATATATATATATATATTATGGCAAGCCAAACAGGAAATATTTAATGAACATTGATATATATGGAATGAACTTCAATATATATGGAATGAACATTGATATATATACAATGAACTTTGATACATATACAATGAACATTTATATATATGGAATGAACTTTGATATATATACAATGAACTTTGATATATATACAGTGAACTTTGATATATATACAATGAACTTTGATATATATACAATGAACTTTGATATATATGGAATGAACATTGATATATATACAATGAACTTTGATATATATGGAATAAACATTGATATATATATATATATATATATATATATATATATATATATATATATATATATGTATACAATGAACTTTGATATATATACAATGAACATTGATATATATACAATGAACTTTGATATATATACAATGAACATTGATATATATGGATTGAACTTTGATATATATTGAATGAAAGTCGCTGTTGAAGGGTTGAGGATGGCCAAGAAAAACTGTACATCAATAAATGGGCATTAACAAACTCCAGGTGGAGCTTGAAGGAAGGGAATTCTGATAAAGTGACCAGTATCTATACACATTGATCCTGTGGACAGAGTGACCTGAGAGTGGCTGATATATGATGTGAAGACACAGATGGGTGGAGTTTCAATATATACATAATTTGACATGGTGCAGAAGAAGAGTCAGATGAGGCCATAGCTTCTGTTTGAAAAATGCTCTTTCATTGAGAGCCAGGGAAAACAGTGCCACTTGAAAAGCAACTGAAAATTGAGGTAGGTCACTCCTAGCCCTGCTCTTTCTTCTGAGGGTCACCAAACACAAACACACTCTCCCTAACTCTGAGCTGGACACAAAATAACAGAGTAAACAAACACATACACACACTGTAACTGAAGAACAACAACATAGCAACATTAAATAACAATGTAAACAGTCTGTTTGGGGGGGTGGGGGGTGAGGTGAAAGGCCACAACACACACAACCCCAAAAGTCCCTCTCTGTCTAAACAAAACATTTTATGAATTATATTATTTTTTTATATGTATCATTTTTTCATCTCAATGTTCGATCCATGTACATCAAGGTTTATTCAATATATATACATTTTCATTCAATATGTACCAATGTTCATTCCATATATGTCAATGTTCATTTAATATAAATCAACGTTCATTCCATATATATCAATGTTCATTCAATATATACCAATGTTCATTCAATATATATCAATGTTCATTCAATATATATAACTTTTCATTCAATATATATCAATGTTCATTCCATATATATCAATGTTCATTCAATATATATCAATGTTCATTCAATATATATCAATGTTCATTCCATATATATCTCAGTAGAACAAAGATTGATATATATGGAATGAACTTTGATCTATATACAATGAACTTTGATATATATGGAATGAACTTTGATATATATGGAATGAACTTTAATATATATACAATGAACTGTTATATATATGGAATGAACTTTGATATATATACAATGAACTTTGATATATATGGAATGAAAATTGATATATATACAATGAACTTTGATATATATGGAATGAACATTGATATATATTGAATGAACTTTGATATATATACAATGAACTTTGATATATATGGAATGAATTTTGATATATATTGAATGAACTTTGATATATATACAATGAACTTTGATATATATGGAATGAACTTTGATATATATGGAATGAACTTTGATATATATACAATGAACTGTTATATATATGGAATGAACTTTGATATATATACAATGAACTTTGATATATATGGAATGAACATTGATATATATTGAATGAACTTCGATATATATACAATGAACTTTGATATATATGGAATGAACTTTGATATATATTGAATGAACTTTGATATATATACAATGAACTTTGATATATATGGAATGAATTTTGATATATATTGAATGAACTTTGATATATATACAATGAACTTTGATATATATGGAATGAACTTTGATATATATACAATGAACTTTGATATATATGGAATGAACTTTGATATATATACAATGAACTTTTATATATATACAACAAACTGTTATATATATAGAATGAACTTTGATATATATACAATGAACTTTGATATATATGGAATGAATTTTGATATATATTGAATGAACTTTGATATATATACAATGAACTTTGATATATATGGAATGAACATTGATATATATACAATGAACTTTGATATATATGGAATGAACTTTGATATATATTGAATGAAAATGTATATATATTGAACATTGATGTACATGGATCGAACATTGAGATGAAATAATGAATAATATAAATCATAAAATGTTTTGTTTAGACAGAGAGGGACTTTTGGGGTTGTGTGTGTTGTGGCCTTTCACCTCACCCCCGACCCAAACAGACTGTTTACATTGTTATTTAATGTTGCTATGTTGTTGTTCTTCAGTTACAGTGTGTGTATGTGTTTGTTTACTCTGTTATGTTGTGTCCAGCTCAGAGTTAGGGAGAGTGTGTTTGTGTTTGGTGACCCTCAGAAGAAAGAGCAGGGCTAGGAGTGACCTACCTCAATTTTCAGTTGCTTTTCAAGTGGCACTGTTTTCCCTGGCTCTCAATGAAAGAGCATTTTTCAAACAGAAGCTATGGCCTCATCTGACTCTTCTTCTGCACCATGTCAAATTATGTATATATTGAAACTCCACCCATCTGTGTCTTCACATCATATATCAGCCACTCTCAGGTCACTCTGTCCACAGGATCAATGTGTATAGATACTGGTCACTTTATCAGAATTCCCTTCCTTCAAGCTCCACCTGGAGTTTGTTAATGCCCATTTATTGATGTACAGTTTTTCTTGGCCATCCTCAACCCTTCAACAGCGACTTTCATTCAATATATATCAAAGTTCATTCCATATATATCAATGTTCATTGTATATATATCAAAGTTCATTGTATATATATCAATGTTCATTGTATATATATCAATGTTCATTGTATATATATCAATGTTTATTCCATATATATCAAAGTTCATTGTATATATATCAAAGTTCATTGTATATATATCAAATTTCATTCCATATATATCAAAGTTCATTGTATATATATCAAAGTTCATCGTATATATATCAATGTTCATTGTATATATATCAATGTTCATTGTATATATATCAAAGTTCATTCCATATATATCAAAGTTCATTGTATATATATCAAAGTTCATTGTAAATATATATAAGTTCATTGTATATATATCAATGTTCATTAAATATTTCCTGTTTGGCTTGCCATAATATATATATATATATATATATATATATATATGTATGTATGTATATATGTCAATCAGCCATAACATTAAAACCAAAGCACCTCCTTGTTCAGCTCCACTGACCATATAGGAGCACTTTGTAGTTCTACAGTTACAGACTGTAGTCCATCTGTTTCTCTGCATACTTTGTTACCCTGTTCTTCAATGGTCAGGACCCCCACAGGACCCCCACAACGTCGTGTTGTGTTAGTGTGTGCCATGCTGGTGCAAGTGGATCAGACACAGCAGAGCGTCCTGTGGGCAGCGTCCTGTGACCACTGATGAAGGACTAGAGGATGACTAGTACAAACTGTGCAGCAGCAGATGAGCTATCGTCTCTGACTTTACATCTACAAGGTAGGAGTGTCTAATATAGTGGACAGTGAGTGTTTAAAAAGTCCAGCAGTGCTGAGAATGACCCACCACCCACATAATACCTGCTCTGTGGAGGTCCTGTGAAGGTCCTGACCATTGAAGAACAGGGTGACAAAGTATGCAGAGAAACAGATGGACTACAGTCTGTAACTGTAGAACTACAAAGTGATCCTATACAGTAAGTGGAGCTGATAAAATGGACAATGAGCGTAGAAACAAGGAGGTGAGCTTAATATTATGGCTGATTGACACATCTTCAACAGAGAATATAGAACATTTAACATTATAAACGCACTATATTTTATAATAATATACTCGCCCAGAGCTCATAATCCTGGAGGCTGCTTTTCCTCTCTGCTCTCGATTAATAGATAAAGAGGAAGCGATATTGTGTCCGTCCTCACTGTGGGCTGATTTCATTCGTATTATACTTTATGCAGCGTAAGTCAGTGTTAAAATGAGTATTTTATTTGCTCCAGTCTGTTGAAGGTCTTCAGTGCCTGTGCGTATCAAACTGAGAGGCTCATATTGAACTATACAGCATGACATGCTGTACTGTTACACTCCTACACACTCTCTTCATGTATGGGGCGACTGATTTGTCTTCTTTTTCGCTTTCTTCACCCCCCCACCCAACCTCCCACCCCCCCTTTTCCAATTCAGCATATCAGGGAGCTGAGGCGGGCCTGAAATGCACAAGGACTGCGGGTAAGTAGCGCTGCTTCTCCTAATGAAAAATGTCCTCCCTCCCTCTCTCTCTCTCTCTCTCTCTCTCTCTGGCTCTCTCTCCCTCCTCTGGCTGGCCTTTTGAAGTCTCCCCTCTCCTCTGCTGAGACGGAGAGGTTGGGAGCGCTTTGAAGAAAGATACGGCTTATTTCTTATCCTCTCCGAATGACCGCCGGCGGGAGAGGAGAGGCGTTGGACATAATGTGTATGTGCGAGTGAATGGATCACCGCAATTTCAGCCGTACAGTCATGTATATTTCATCACAGGGACTGGGATTCATTTGCTCTCGCTCCGGGCTCTGCGCTCTTACATCTGTATGCTGCTTTCTCAAGCTATGGGAGACCGCTTTGCCCCCCAGTGACGTCAGTCACGGGACCAGAGACCCCCTCCTTCCGCACTGACTCACTCTGATTGAGCAGCCTTCAACCCTCATCAATAGCCCCCAGTTACCATTTCGCTGTGTATATTTTAAATAAGACATCCAGCAAGTTCTAGATAACTGCCATACTGGCCATTAAGGCCCATCAGCGGTTTGTGTAGTAGAGCAGCATTAGTGCATTGATTTACATTAAATAATTATTTAAATGTAGCTGCGTAACCATTAAGGGAAAGTTTGTTAGAGAACTTTAAGTTGGTTTGACAAAACCAGCTAATGGCATTAAAGTTAGTCAACGCGGTTGCAGAACATTGTAGACTGTTTTGGTAACGTAACTTTATATGGTGATTCCAGGTGGTTGCTATGGTAATATGAGATTGTTATGGTATTCCAGCTTGTTGTCATTGCCTGGTGATTGTTAGGTGGATGTTAAAGTGTTGTTAGACTGTTGCTGTGGTAATCCAGGTGGTTGCTAAGGTGTTTGTTGCTATATTATCCCAGGCGGTTGTGAAGTGTGGTATCTCGGGTGGTTGCTAAGATGTCGTTAGACTGTTGCTGTGCTATTTCAGGTGGTTGCTGAGGTGTTGTTAGACTGTTGCTTTGGTATCCCAGGTGGTTGTTGAGGTGTTGTTAGACTGTTGCTTTGGTATCCCAGGTGGTTGTTGAGGTGTTGCTAGACTGTTGTTTTGGTATCCCATGTTTGTGTTGAGGTGTTGTTAGACTGTTGTTTTGGTATCCCAGGTGGTTGTTAAGGTGTTGTTAGATTGTTGTTGTGGTGTCCCGGTGGTTATTAAGGTGTTGTTAGGTCATTGCTTTGGTATCCCAGGTTTGTGTTAAGGTGTTAGATGGTTGCTGTGGTATTCCAGGTGGTTGTTAATGTGTTGTTAGGCTGTTGCTTTGGTATCCCAGGTGGTTGCTAATGTGTTGTTCAGCTGTTGCTGTGGTATTCCAGGTGGTTGTTAGTGTGTTAGAATGTTGCTGTGGTAATCCAGGCACTTGTTAAGGTGTATGACGGTTGCTGTGGTGTCCCAGGATGTTGTTAAGGTGTTGTTAGGCTAGTTTTTTGGTTTCTATGTGGCTGCTCAAGTGCTACTAGGCCATTGCTGTGCTATCCCAAGTGGCTGTGAAGTTGTTGCTAGACTCTTTCTATGGCATTTCGAGTGGCTGAAGAAGTGTTGCTAGGGCATTGCTATGGTATCCAAGATTGTTGCTAAGGTATTGCTAGGCCATTACTATGGTATCCTAGGTGGCTGCTCAGGTGTTGCTAGGCAATTGCTGTGCTGTCTCAAGTGGTTTTGAAGGTGTTGCTAGGCCCTTACTAGGGTATTCCAAATGGTTGCTTAGGTGTTGCTAGGCCCTTTCTATGGTATCCTAGCTTGTTGGTAAGGTGTTGCTAGGCCTTTACTATGGTATGCAAGGTGGTTGCTAAGGTGTTGCTAGGCCATTGCTATGGTATCCAAGGTGGTTGCTGAGGTGTTGCTAGGCCATTGCTATGGTATCCAAGGTTGTTGGTAAGGTGTTGCCAGGCAGTTACTATGATATATGAGGTGGTTGCTAAGGTGTTGCTAGGCCATTGCTATGGTATTCCAGGTTGTTGGTAAGGTGTTGCTAGACGGTTACAGTCGTATTCAAGGTGTTGCTAGGCCATTGCTATGGTACCCAAGGTTGTTGGTAAGGTGTTGCTAGGCAGTTACTATGGTATATGAGGTGGTTGCTAAGGTGTTGCTAGGCCATTCCTATAATATCCCAGGTAGCTGCTAGGTATTTATGTGACTCTATATGTAATGAGATTGTGAGATGTCCTTTTTGTCCATGTTTGTGTCAGTTAGATAAAAATTTTCTCAATTTTTCCATCATTTCCTATAAGTGTACACAAAAAAATCTCATCAAAACCAAACGTGTGATCAGTCCCAGAAAGCACAAGCACACTATGCTCTATGGTCCTGCCAAGTTTGGTTCTAGTTCAAAAACTGTGACCCATGAAAACAGTACAGAAAAAGTGTAGAATAATAACGGGAGGAACAACGAGTTGACTTTGTATGTTGATCTATATTTAATTGTAAATGTAGCTAAAATGACATTTTCAAGTATAAAATAACTATTTATGACATTAATTTGAAGTGAGTTATGTCAAATATGATAGTAAAATGACAGTAATAAGAGGGTTCTGAGGCTTGAGCAGCATCAATAACAGGCTGCAGCTGAGCTCGTTTCAGGTTTCCTCACAGCTGTGCTCCTGCTGAAATGAGCAAACATCAGAAAGAAGACCAGCAGAATTCTATTCTCCACTTATTGTTCAATATCACGAAACCGTTCTCACTTCTGTCCGGACTCCAATTGTCTGTTCTGTCAATACTCACCGTGTATATAACAGATAGTCTGTCAGGAATCGTGCTTTTTCACAATCATCACAGCCGCCGTCCAGAAGGCGTCCCATCTGTGGCGCTCGCCTCATTACTGTAATATTCGTCCCCGGGTTTTTCTCTGTGCCATTTGCAGGCAGAGCGAAACTCCTCTGAAAATGAAAAGAGAAACGTGTTTTCCCCGCTCCAGTGGTTTTTATGCGACTGAGCTCCGGCCCTCTTAATTATGCTCTTTCTGACATTGTTCATTTTCACACACTGTGATGAGCAGAGCAGAGAAAGTTCCTCCCGCTCACTTCAGAGAGATAATTAGATATGATTCAGTCACAACACAATAGTGTGATTATATGTTTTTGAGTGTTAATCATCTCTCTAATAATGGATTTGTGGACACTACTAAACTGCATTTTGACTGATTCTCGTTATTTGGACTTATCATTTATATCTCTCCTCTAATCTCCCCTCTATCTCTCCGATGACTCCTCTATCTCTCCGATATCTCTCCTATCTCTCTCCTTTTTCTGTCCTCTAATTTCTCCTCTTATCTCTCCTCTATTTTTTCTGTATTCTCTACTCTATACATCCTCTAATCTGTCCTCTATCTCTCCTCTGTCTCTACTCTCGCCTCTATACATCTTCTATACATCCTCTCTCTCTTCTATCTTTCCTCTAATCCCTCCTCTAATCTCTTGTCTCTCCTTTATCTTTCCTCTGATCTCTCCTCTGTCTCTCCTCTATCTTTCCTCTATACATCTTCAATACATCCTCTCCTCTACTCTCTCCTCTGTTTCTCCTCTAATCTCTCCTCTGTCTCTCCCCTGCCCTACTAATCATTCCTCTATCTCTCCTGTCTCTCCTCTATCTGTCATCTAATCTCTCCTCGATCTCTCCTGTCTCTCCTCTATCTCTCCATCTTTCCTCTAATCTCTCCTCTCTCTCCTATTTCTCATCTATCTCTCCTCTGTCTCTTCTCTATCTCTCCTCTAAACATCTTCTATATATCCTCTGTCCTCTACTCTCTATTCTATCTCTCCTTTATCTCTCTTCTGATCTCTCCTCTGTCTCTTTTCTGTCTCTTTTCTATCTCTCCTCTATTTCTCCTCTAATCCCTACTCTATCTCTCCTCTAACCCCTCCTCTTTATCTCTCCTGTCTCTCCTCTATCTCTTCTCTATCTCTCTTCTGTTTCTGCTCGATCTCTCCTCTATCCCTCCTCTGTCTCTCCTTTATCTCTCCTTTCCTCTCCTGTCCTTTCCTCTCTTCTCTTCTCTTCTCTTCTCTTCTCTTCTCTTCTCTTCTCTTCTCTTCTCTTCTCTCCTGCAGTCTCTGTGGAGGCTTTATTTGACTCCACTTTTTCTCCATCCTTTGTGAAAGAGGGAGATACTCTGGTTCTGTGCTGCAGTTTCTCCTCCCCTCTGCTTCCCTTCCAGCAGGACGTGTCCTGGTTCAGAGACGGTGAGAAATGGAGACAGAGCACCTTAAATGGCCCATTTCATAGCATGTTTTACTGCTTGCAATAAAACTTTGATATAATATAAAAGCATTGCTATAGTTTAAAAACATACCATTCACTTTTCGGTCCGTACATGAAAGCTAAACAGCAAAAACAGCCTGTTCTGAATTCATCGTGGTTGTGATGTCACAGGAGTGCCACTCAGTTCTTCTGGCCGGGTGGATGTGAGGACAGCGCTGACCTCCACCACTCTAACCCTGAAAGGAGTGCACAAGGAGCACGAGGGTCTTTACTCCATCCGCCTCCTCACCCGGGATGGCATCAAGGAGCACAGCGCCTTCGTCTACATCAAGGGTTAGTGGTGGTTCCTCTGTGCACTGTTGTTGGACAGACGGTGAACAATGGTCATGTCCACTTTTCTCCTTGGAAATAAGTTGACTGAGGTCAGTTACATTACCTGGCCACTTTAGTAGAAACCCCTCTCTTGAAGCTCCACCTTGCTGGTGTACAGTTAGAGACTGTTGAAGCACAGTCTGTGTTAGCCATTGTCTGGTCCTACATTAACGGTCAGTTTCTGACCACAAAGCTGCTCTTGGCTAGAAATTTTTGAGAGATGCACTCTCTCTAATAAAGTGGCCAGTGAGTGGAAGTACAAGGTAGGTGTTTCTAATAAAGTGACCAGTTAGTGGAAGTACAAGGTAGGTGTTTCTAATAAGGTGGCCAGTTAGTGGAAGCACAAGGTAGGTGTTTCTAATAAAGTGGCCAGTAAATGGAAGCACAAGGAAGGTGTTTCTAATAAAGTGGTCAGTAAATGGAAGCACAAGGTAGATGTTTCTAATAAAGTGGCCAGTTAGTGGAAGCACAAGGTAGGTGTTTTCAATAAAGTGGCCAGTTAGTGGAAGTACAAGACGTTTCTAATAAAGTGGCCAGTTAGAGGAAACAATCCTAAGTGGGTTTCAGTATATATGTATTAGAGATTATTAACGCATGCTTTTCTTCAGAAAGTGTTATAGGATTATAATATGCAACGAAAAACACAGTAAAAAGGATGCACAGTAACTCTGCAGCACAAATGATAACCACAAATGTTCATGAATGCCCGCCATGCGCCGCAGAGTTACTGAATCAGTCTGTTTGATGTTTCCTGATACAGATGGTTGGCTTCTACAAAGGTATTATGAGAAAAGTAAACAGTATTTCATTTTCAGTGAGATTTATTTGCATCTCACTCTGTGAATTCTGTTTTGACAGCGCTGCTAATTGCGTCGAGAGCATGGAACTTAATTTGGATAAAAATGCTCCAAATCAATTGCAGAAAACCAACAGGGCAGAAAACAGCTCACTGAGAGATGCAAATGATCCTCCATAAGTGGCCGTTTGGGAGTTTGTAATCTATTGCTTTTGCAGTGAGCGTGATTGCAGGTTTCTCAGAGCTAAACCTTATGGCTCAAGCAGTTTACTGCTAAATGCTAATTGAGTTGTTCCACCGACAGGGTGCTGTTTTTTCCCATTGTAAATTTTCAAAGAGTAAATCTAATGAATATTAATATATCCAGTGGAGAACACTCATGAAAATGCTTCTATTCTGCATTATTTCTGCTCCAAACCCCACTTATGGCAAATTTGGGATGCTAACACTTTCTATGAATGTCGCATTTGTAAGCATATATAAACACATTTATAACATGTTATAATGTATTCATAAGGCATTATAAATGTGGTTATAAATATTTATAAAAAGGAATTACACTGAATTACACTTTATAGCCATGTTTATTATACATTATGAATTGTTAATATAATGCATTATAAATAGTGTTAATAACATGTTATACTGTCAGTGCCAAAGAAGTCAGTCCCAGCTTGGAGAACGTAAAGTAAAGACAAATACCAAGCTAACGGTGGTGAACATTACCTTTCCCACATTGGGTAAAACACTGATGGCAGCTCTAGTTTAAACTCTGACATTTGAAGCCTGTAATGTGCTTTATTGTGAATGTTTTAGTGTTTCAGTAAATCCTTCAGTAAATACTTCAACTTGAAGCCTCACTCTGAACACTGGAGGAGGCTTTAGTACAGTACGCTTCACTTTACTTAGAGCGGACAAATACCACTTATGAGCTCTTATAATTTGTTATGATCAGTACTTACAATGCATTATGTTAACAATTCATAATGCATAATAAACATGGCTCTAATGTATAATACATTTTTATAAATATTTATAGCTATGTTTATAATGTCTTATGAATGCATTATAACATGTTATGAATGTGTTTATAGATGCTTACAAAGGTGACATTCATAGAAAGTGTTACCGTTGGGACATTTTGTAAAATGCAATAAAAACAAGAATGTGTGATTTGTTAATTCTCTTGATCCTTTATTTACCTGCAAACCTATAAGAAATAGCTTAATGCTTTGGCTGACCAAGCTGATTGTATTGTATTGATTTTGAATTTGTTGGGACGGGGTAGAATAAGAGTAAAGAAGTTTATTGAATATTAAATAGTACAGGGAGATTCAAAACAATTCATCCGATTTCAAAGTGCCATATTTTTACAACGGTGAGGCGTCTAGGAACCAATCACAATCCAATTAAAAGAGGAGGTCATAGAGTTTCTGACTGTCAGTAGAGTGAGACCCCTGAGCAGAAAGCGTTTTTGGTTCTCCACTTCAATAAGAGTGAATCCGTCATAACTGTGCAGCGTGATTTTCATGGGCAGTGAAGCTCCAACAGCTCAGAGCGTTCGTCGTTGGTTCCACAACACTGGATGATCTCCGAAATCCGTGACAGCAGCGGCACCCGACATGCTCAATCAAGTTGTCCGTACAGCTGGAGGAGGTTCATACTGAGCACTTGTAAAATTACATAATAAACTTTATGCTCATTTAAACCATTTACAGTTTACTGCATTGTTCTGTAATAATTTACAAGTGAAATAAATAATTTTGAAATCGGAGGAATCTTTTTGAATCATCCTGTATATACAGTTTATAGAATAAGTAACACCATTTTCAAACATTCCACAATAAGCTGGTGAATTGGTAACAGAAAGAATGTAGGTCTTTTACCATCTACCGTACATAATATTGTGAAAAGATTCCGGATAGTCTTTGTAGTGCTTGGCAGGAAACCCCTGTTGAATGTGTGTGACCTTCAAGCCCTCAGACAGCACTGCATGAGAAACCGTCATGGTACTGTGCCAAATATAGCCACCTGGACTCGAGAGCATTTAGGAAAACTGTTGTCACTTAACATAGTCCGCCACTACATCAAGAAATGCAAGCTGAAACTCTGTTACGCAAGGAGAATGCCATACATCAATTCAATGCAAAAACACCGCCGAGTTCTCTGGGCCCGAGTTCATCTCAGATGGTCGGAAAGAGAGTGGAAATGTGTGCTGTGGTCAGATGCGTCCACATTTCAGCTTGTTTTGAAAAACGGACAATGAGTTGTCCATGCCAAAGACAAAAGAGACCTTCCAGACCTTTATCAGCGAAAGGTGCAAAAGCCAGTATCTGTCATGGTGTGGGGGTGCATGAGTGCCCATGGCATAGGTGACCTAAATTTGTGTGAAGGTACCATTGATGTGGAGATGTATATTGTGATTTTAGAGAGACATATGCTGCCAAAAAGATGACATATTTTCCCAGGAAGTCCATGGTTATTTCAGCTGGACGTTGCCAGGCATTATTCTGCACGTGCTACAACAGCGTGACTTCGTAGACACAGAGTGTGTATGCTTGACCGGCCTGCCTGCAGTCCAGATCCTATTGAAAATGTATGGCTCACCTTGAAGAGGAGAATCGGACAACAACGTCCACAGACTGTTCAGCAGCTGAAGTCTTGAATCAAGCAGAAATGGGCAGAAATTCCATTTGCGAAAGTGAAGTATCCTCAGATTCCAAACGACTAAAAGGTCTAATTAAAGGGAGAGATGATACAGTGGTAAACATGCCTCTGTCCGAACGATTTTTGAGTGTGTTGCAGCCATAAAGTTCTAAATTTGTTTACATTTAGAAAAAAAAATTTCGTTTTTCAGTGAAAATATTGGAAATCTTTTCTTTGTACTTTTATCAGTTAAATAAAGGTTCAAGAGAATCAGCAAATCACAGATTCTTGTTTTTTTTTTTACATTTTACCAAATATCCCAACTTGTCCAGAAATGGGGTTTGCTTATATTTTTTCAAATATGTCATCATTTTACTTAAAATAGGCTAACAGTGCAATTCTGTGATAAAATCACAAGTGAAAACACTTCATATTGTTATATTATTCATTATTATTAAATAATAGTCTTTGCACTGTAGTTTGAAGTATTATAAACTAGACAATAAAACAAAAAAAAATTAGAAGCTGGTTGATCATTTTCTGAAGTAATCAAACACATTCAGTGGTGTTGAGGTCTGGACTCTGGGGTGGTCAGTCCATCGTTCAGCTTCTTTGTTTGATGTGTCCGTCTCCTTTTCTCAGTGAGGTTCTTCTTGACAGCTACACATCCTTTCAGACCCACAGCGCTGAGTCGTCTTCTCACAGTGGAAGGATGGACAGAAACACCTGTGGATGTTTTCAGATCTGAAGCAGCTTGATTTTCTCCTCTCTCTCAGAGATGAAAGCTTTAAGTGCTGTTTAAATGATGGGGGCAGTTTTGGTGTCTACCAGGTCTTCCAGGTGGTTGTTAGGAGCCCCATTTTCTCTGTAGTAAACTCCTAAGTTTCATTTAAGTTTAAGACTTTAATTTATTCCTGCATGCGTTCCTTAAATAATGCTGGTCCATTAGTGGGGTGTCTGGAAGGCTGGCCTGCTCGAAACTCCTAAACAGGCCAAATGATGTAGCACCAGCAAGGTGACCTGTGGCTTGTCCGAGAGCCAGTTCTCATCACGGTCACCTCCGCAGAATCAATAACCTGCTCTGCTGGCGCGGTGAGCTCCTAATGGTGATGATAGCGCAGGCGGCATCGACGTTTCTGTCTTATTAGCCGCGCTGGGCTGCTCTGGCCTGGAGTAATTAGAGATCCCGTCTCCACCGCCTGCATCTGCCTAATCTCAGGGGCAGAATTTACATTGCAAATCTGCGAGGGATCGAGGAGACGCTGGAGAGTGAGCACAGCTTCAGTTCTTCGCTTTCTTACTCTGCTGGAGGGGCTTCATAACAGATCAGTGGGAGTCAGTGTTTTAAATCATGCAGTTCTAAAAAGTCATGGAGCTCCAACAATTGATCACTCTCTTGCTCTCTTGTTCTTATTCTTTCTCTTTCTGTGTCCTTTCTCACACTCTGCCTTTCCTTGTTTTGTTTATCTATCTAACTCCCTGGCCACTTTATTAGAAACTCCTCCCTGGTGGTCTCTTGTTACTGGATTCGCCATAACATCTCTTTGCATAAAGAATCCTCGACAGCCTTGAGGCCAAAGCTTTGGCATTAGCTAGAAAACAGAGGCTAACAAAGCCTAGCTAGTTACAGTAGGCTTAAAGGGGCACTCCAACCAAAATTAAAAATGGAACCATCAATACATCTGTTGTAAACATGCCTACTCACCTCTTACAGTGGTGCCACTATTGTCTAAAGTGAGATTTTTCCTGTCTACTCCAAAGGTATTGGATGGAGCTCCATCAGTCCAGAGAACACAGTTCCAGTGCCTAACAACATCCCATAGCTGGGGGCTTTATACCCCTCTAGCCCACTCTTGTCACTAGGCATGGTGGCGTCTCATTCTATTTGGTCATTGTTTTTTATGGAGATTATACAGACTGTGAGTGCGCAGTTGAGCACCCATGTCAGCAGAGAGGATATTCAGTATATTTCCGTTTCTCTTTCAGATGGTCCTGCTGCAGTGGTCGGAGCTCCTGGATCCCCCCTGGAGGTCGAGTGCTCCGATGTTAACAGGGATTACGTGTTCCTCTCCTGGAAGCCGCCCAGCGCGGACGGGGCAGCCCAAGTGCAAGGCTACTTTATTGAGAGGTCAGTGTGTGGGCGACACTTGAAAGTACAAAAAGCACTAAGAGCTCTCGACCGAGGAGCTGGATGCATTACAGAAGAGCTGCTGAGCGACGCTGAGTCACGGCGGGTTTCTGTTCTGTCTCTGGACCTTCAGCTCTCAGAATAAACACACAGAGGTGGCTGTAACAACTCCCGTACACCACTGGGGGAGCTCTCGCTGCCTTACACACCTTAATACAGAACTGCAGCACAGTGCGCACATCTGTATCGCAGAGAGAGAGAGAGAGAGAGAGAGAGAGAGAGAGAGAGATAGAGAGAGAAGGTAAGAGTGGTAAAGGAGGGATGGGGAGAGAGAGGGAGTAGAAAAGAGAAATGAGAAAGAGAGAGAAGGATGCTGAAAGAGGATGGACAGAGAGAAGCAAGAGAGAGAGGGATGGAGAAGAGAAATGAGAGAGGGATGGAGAAGAGAAATGAGAGAGGGATGGAGAAGAGAAAGGAGAGCGAGGGATGGAGACAGAGAAGGAGAAAGAAGGATGGAGAAAGAGAAGGAGCGAGAGGAATGGGAAGGAGAAAGATGAAAGAAGGATGAGAAAGGGAAGGAGAGAGAGGGGTTGGAAAGAAAAGGAGAGAGAGAAGGATGGGGAAAAAGAGGCAGAGAAAGAGAAAGGAGAGGAAGAGACAAGTATAGGGAAAGAGAAGGGAGAGAGAGGAATGGAGAAAGAGGAAGAAGAGAAAGATAGGGAAAGAGAAGGGAGAGAGAGTAATGGAGGAGAGAAGGGAGAGAGAAAGAGAGAGTGAGAGAAGGGAGAGAGAGAGGCAAGGAATAGAGAAAAAGGAAGAGAAGGATGGAAAAGCAAGAGAAAGGGATCCAGAAAGAGAAGAGAGAGAGAGAGAGAGGAAAAGACAGATGAGAAAGGTGAATGGAAAGAGAATGGGTTGGAAAATGAAGGGAGAGAGAGAGAGGGACAGAGAAAGAAGAGAGAAAGAAAGATGGAAAAAGTGAAGAGAGAGAGAGATAGAGAGAGGGGGTGTCTGTTCGGGATGGATGTCGCTGGGAGACGGGGAGCTTGTTTCCTAGCAACACCTCACAGCTCTGTGAGAAGTTTGGGGGTTTTGTTTTCTCCTACTTTGTTTTCCAGGTGACGGCGAGTCTCTCGTTTCTCCGCTCACAGCCACGTTTTCCACAATCATCTTCATTTCTGCTGTTGTTATTGTCGTTTCTCCTGCGCTGAGCTGGGCGTGTCGTCATTTTCAGGAACATGTAAATGTAGAAACTGTTGTTTTTCAGGTTCTCTCAGGTTTTCATTTCTTTAGCGAGTAAAACACTCAGTTCAAACAGTGAAACACAGAGAGAGATGATACCTTAAAGACACCTTACAGATACACTTTTACTACTTTTTCCTCACCTAAAAAATAAATTAGAGCGTTTGCTGCAGTACGTAAACATGGTTTTACTCCCCCATTAGTTTAGCACATTTATGGAAACCAAGCTGGAAAAACAGCCTGTTTTCAATTCATTGTTTTTGTAATGTCAAAACGACCAACACATTTATGTCTATTGGCTTACACAGCCAGTTTAGCCCCGCCCACTCACACTGAAGTTATGAGGAGTGTTTCAGCCTGGACTGCTTTTTTGAATGAAGTAATACCGGCCAGCCAATCAGAACATGGCTCATTTACATGTGTCAGTCTTAAAGGCACAGTAACAAAAACAGCCTGAGCAATTATAAAGGATTAAGAGAGGCTGTAAAAATGAACCCACAGAAACATTATAAGATGACATCAGGAGTAAAAAGTAAAATGTAAGAAAATCGTAGAATCTTTCTCTCTCTCTCTCTCTCTCTCTCTCTCTCTCTCTCTCTCTCTCTCTCTTTCTATCTATCTATCTATCTATCTATCTTTCTCTTTCTCTCTCTCTCTCTCTCTCTCTCTCTCTTTCTATCTATCTATCTATCTATCTATCTATCTATCTATCTTTCTCTTTCTCTCTCTCTCTCTTTCTATATATCTCTTTCTCTCTCTCTCTGTCTATCTATCTCTTTTCTCTCTCTCTCTATCTGTGTCTATCTCTTTCTCTCTCTTTCTCTATCTATCTATCTATCTATCTATCTATCTATCTATCTATCTATCTATCTATCTTTCTCCCTCTCTCTCTCTGCTCTCTCTCTATCTATCTATTTATCTCTATCTATCTATCTATCTATCTATCTATCTATCTATCTATCTATCTATCTATCTATCTTTCTCTTTCTCTCTTTCTCTCTTTCTCTCTTTCTCTCTATCTCTCCCTCTCTCTCTCTCTATCTATCTATCTATCTATCTATCTATCTATCTATCTATCTATCTATCTGTCTATCTCTCTCTCTCTATTCTCTCTGTCCTCTCTTTCTTTCTCTCTCTCTCTCTCTCTCTCTCTCTCTCTCTCTCTCTCTCTCTCTCTGTTGGTTGTGTTGGTTAACGGCAGGTCAGTTAGCAGGCCTGGTGAGACCTAGGTCCATGCGTCTAGTGCTGGACCAGTGTAGGGCCGACTTGTCTGCTGCTGTTTTGGAGTATTTGAGTGTGTCTGCTGCTGAAGACCGCCAGAGTGGAAGTGGAAGACTTTCCAGAGCTGGAGGTCAATGTGGAAAGGGAAGACTGACAAGAGGGTCAGGGAAAGCTCCTTCGACTGGGGGCCCCGACTCTAGGGAGTTTCAGCGGTCTTGGTCCCTGAAAGGTAGCTGGTGGGCCCCTGTACAAAAGGCCCATTGAGAAAAGAATGGGGGACCTCAAGTGGAGGGCTGTACATTAACCACAAACAGACCAAAGTACTCTGCTTCTAAGAGGATAAATCTGGTGTACCAGGAAGAACACAGTTAAGGGAAGTGGGGGTGCTGACCCTGCTCTGATGGTAAGGGGTCTGGTTTTGAAACGGCTTAATTTGGAATATGCTTATCATAGCCCTATTGATGATGTGGATTGTTTTTTTGCTGTATGGGGGGTTGGGGGCTATATCTGTGAACCTGATGAGCAGGGGGTGGGTTTCGGTAACTCTGTGATGCAGTGAAGGTTCTGTTATTGTGCTGATTGTTTATGTTGGCTGATTACTTTTGTTTGATGAGTTTGATGGTACATTACAGGTGTTTCAAAGTCAAGTCTCTCTCTCTCTCTCTCTCTCTCTCTCTCCCCCTCTCTGTAGGAGTGAGCTTGGTTCTCTGCAGTGGATCCGCTGTAATGAGGTTCCTCAGAAGGTGTGTTATTATCCTGTGATGGGTCTTAAGGAAAACACCATGTACCAGTTCAGAGTGTGCGCCGTTAACCAGGCCGGCGTGGGACGCCCGTCCAAACCCACACACCCCATCCTCACCTCCGATCCCCTGGAGCCCAGCAGGACTATGGGTAATGGAGTATCATAATACTAATCAGTATTAGAGACAATTAAAAAAATGTGAAATACAGATTTCAATAATATAAAGACGTTTTAATATAAAGCAGTATAAAACGATAATTTAATAAAGCTGTAAAAATGTAGGAATATTAGATTGTCCAGAATGATGAACAGAGCTGTAAAAGAAAACTTAGAACATCCAGAAGGAAGTTTTAAGAAAATTAATATTTAAAATTTTGAAGTTCTAATAAAATTAATATCCAGATTGAAATTGCATTTTATTTAAATTGGTTTAAACATATTCATTTAAATTATATTTAAATTAATACACAGAATGAAGTTATAATAAACTTAATATATATATATATAAATATGTATATATATATATATATATAAAGTAAAATAAATGTAATACCCAGAAATAGATTTTAAAATCAACATCCAGAATGAAACTTAATATCCATAAATTAAATTATAGTAAATTTAACACGCAGAATTAAATTATAATTCAATTAATATGCAGAATAAATTTCAAATGAAAAATAAAATTCCTTTAAAAATAATATTCAGAATAAAATTGCATTAAAATTAATATACACAATACATTTGTAATAAAATTAGAATGAAGTAAACTTAATTTCAAGAATGAAATGATTTATTATTTCAGAAGTCATGGTCAAACCTTGAGGCAGATAATGTTATAAAAATTTTATTACAATAAAAAATATTTTTATAATAATTTCAAACATTTCTGTCAACAGCTATTTACCATACATATTATATTAAAAAATCTAATACTGTTTTTTCCAAATTTTTTGAAATATTGAATAAAATATCTAAAATATCTTTTAAGTTATTACTGAAAAAAATAATTAAAAATGCAGTAATTATAATGAAAAGTGATTCCACATTTTTGGGAGTGTGTCCAGTCAGTCTGTGGTTTCTTTAGGCTTAAAATAATTTTTTTTTATATATAAAATAAAAATATAAGTTTAAATAAACTCATTTTAATAATTAGTGAGTACATAAACAATAATACAGTTAATGTATCAGATATTGGAGGAAGACATGCATCGTCATGGTGATGAGTTTATGATCTCATATCATCAGATCACACACCGTCCGCCAGCATCAGGCCTCAGGCTCCACACGCCGTCCTTCATATCTCCTTTATTCAAGCACCTCTGTCAGACGCCTCCTTATCGCTGATACAGCTCTCGTGATCAGGTCCGGCGGCTGGACGTCATGTTTCAGACTCGATGGTATCTGTGCTCAAACGAGAGGAATTAAGATTTATCCTGGAACTGTCAGCTCGTCTCTCCCGCTGGGCTCTCTTATTAAATACCTTTATTTCTGTCACACTGTTCACTGCTGCTGCTGATGGCTGCCTTCGTTTCCCTCTGAGTCCATTTCTTTTGTTCTCTCTGTCTTTCAGTGGTCAAGGTGGACGCGGGGAGAGAGATTGTGATCACCAAGGACCAGCTGGAGAGTAAGACACGAACCATAAATCTCATCAGAACAAACCCTGCAGCTGATGACAAGGAAGGCTGTGAAACGTCTTCTGATTTTACTTGATGATTTCTCCCACTGTAAAGGGGAATTCCACCAATTTTTCAAAATTTCTGCATAAATAACTGGTTAAGATGTAAACAGAGTCATTCAGAGTGGTTTGGTGTGAAACGCTCTGTTCTAGAGAAACTTACCGAGTCAGAACTGTTCACAGTGGTGGTGATAGGAACCAGACATCCACCTCTAAAAGCTCCCTCACACAAAGTTACTACATGAAATGGTTATGAATTCACTGAGACATTGTTTCACGATAGTTTTGAGCTAGATTTTCTGCCAAAAATGTATTTTTTAAAGCACATTCATGATGGAGGGATATATGCAGGGTGTTCTAAGGCAAAATAGTCCCCAAAGAAAACGTATTATTGTTATAACTTTGATATTTCGTTAAAGTTATGTTGCGAACTTATGGAGGCAACAATGGTTTGATGTTAAAATTACATTTTAAGATAAGAAACAACTAGAAATAGCTTGTTTAATTTAATATAATACTAAATAAATTGCCCATTTTTAACAAAACACTTCATGAAACAAACTTTATAAAATGTTCTTTATGGCTTCTATAAGGACAATAAAAACAATACATTCTGTCGTTTTGTTACAGTAGTATTTTTTAACATCATTAAATGCTTCTTTCAATCATGCTTTTTTTACAAATTGTTTACAAAAGAATGTCAAATGACTGAACTGAATCAAATCATTGTGAATCCTTTCCTAAAGAACTAGAAGCAAATCACTGAACCACTTCCTAAGGAACCATAAACTAATAACCAAATCATTTCCTAAAGAATCGTAATCAAATCATTGCTTTGTTTCCCAAAGAACTATAAATGAATCATTGAAGCATCTAATGAAGCCTCATAAACAAATAATTGAATAATTTCCTAAAGAATCATAAAGGAATCACTGAATCATTTACTAAAAAATTATAAACAAATCATTGAATCATTTCCTAAAGAATCACAAACAGATCATTGAATAATTTCCTAAAGAATTATAACCAAAACATAGCTTCGTTTCCTCAAGAACTATGAATGAAGCATTGAAGCATTTCATGAAGTCTCTTAAACAAATCATGGAATCATCTCCTAAAGAATCATAAACAAATCATTGTATTATTCCTAAAGAATCAAAACTGAATCATTGCTTTGTTTCCTAAAGAACCTTAAATTGAATCATTGAATCATTTCCAGAAAAATCATAACCAAATCATTGCTATGTTACCTAAAGAACCATAAATGAATCATTGAAGCATTTCCTAAAGGATCATAATTAAATTATTGGATAATTTTCCAGAGAATCATAGTTAAATCATTGAATCTCAATTCAGTCTATACCGAGTCAATACTGATACTCTCACTGTCTCATCCTCTTCTTCTTTCTCTCTCTTCCTCCTGCAGGTCAGATCCGTGTGCCGTTCCCTCCGACCGATGTGCATGTGTGTGAGCTGAGTGACTCCTACGCTGTGATCAGCTGGACTGAACCGGACCCACGCGGCAAAGAACCGCTCACTTACTTCGTAGAACGGGTGATGCTTCTATTTTACATTCGTTTAGTTTTAACTGAGTTAGTTTTTCATCCTAAATAGTATTATTAGCATAAATATTTGAGTGAAAAGTGGAAGCCTCGGTGTTCCTGAGTGGCTCTATCGTCAGGAGATTATGAGTTCGATATGCAGTGATGCCACAGCCATCTGTGGCTCGGAGTCCAAGAGAGCTTGGGTGGTTAGGACGGTCCTCCATTTCGCCCCATCACTCAGGGACTAGCAGTTAGTGTTCTCCTCCAAGCGTGTTGAGCTCCAATGACTTTGCTTTGGAGGCAGTTTGAAAAGACGTGGTTGAGCTTCACGTGTCTCAGAGGAAGCTGATGCCTTCACCCTCCATCACGGTGTGAAACAGCGAGACCTAGCTAACAGGTGGGACTGTACACGACTAAAATTGAGAATTAAAAAAGGAAAAGTAGAATCTTTGAGAATTTAACATAGATTTCAGAATTTCTTAGTATTTAGTGAATCCGACCTCAGCTAAATTAGCTATTGCGCTAAATAGCATATTTGTTATCAGTGGTGAACTTTGACTATTAGAGCTAGGCCTTCAGTTTGGGCCACATGTCTATGATAATGCTAATTTCTAGTGGTATGTTAGCGCTAAGATAATGCCAATTCACTGGAACATTTTGTGGCTGTTCTAGTAAATAGTGAATTTTTGGGCTGTTCCTTGCTGTGTAACCACTGTTCAGGCCGCCTTTTATGTTTTTTCCCAATTAAACCTGGATATTTGATATTTGTAACAGACTTTAATATATATTTGAGCTTATATCTATCAGATTTACAGTGACTCCTCCAGTAAAGCTGCCGCTGTTTTCCATTCCTAACAACCAACCGAAACTTACTTCGACTCTGACTCGCATTCATGGTCTGTGACTTATCTAGAACTTCCAGAAGGACCAGAGTGATGTGTTTTCTCACCCACTGTAAATCAAAATTTGCCTGACTGCAAGTTTCTAATTATGTTGGTATTTCATTTAATGTTTAAGGCCTTCAGTTCAGCTCCTGAAGTCCTGACCAATGGGAGAGCTCGTTTGGCTGTATCTGCTTAGATACCCCAGAGAAAACAATCTGAGTGGATCATTTTCTATTGGCTATTTCAAGAACTTAGCTCTTTTGTTTCCAACCAAAACTTAACAATGAAATAAGAGTATTACTACAATATTTGTCAAGTTATAATACAAGCATTATGAATTTATTAAACAAAAATAACGTACAATTACAGACATTTATTTTTTATTTTGCTTCTCTGAGGGCCAAGAGGGCCCTGAGTGTTCCCCACTGCCAAGTGTTTCAAGCTGTTTTGCTTCATTCCTTTAAACGCTGTCTTTCTCAAGCTGAAATCTTGTTGCATCTTTAGTCTCGAGTCTGAGTCTAGTCCCGAATACACATAGTAGTAGCGTAATAGTCAAACTAAGGTCCAATCCCATTTTACCCCTCACTACTACTGCTTAGCCCTTAGCCCTACGTTGTGCACGTTCACGTCTAAGGGTAGGGTGTCCTGATTGTTGTTGAGATAGAGGGGTGGGGCGAAGTGTTTGGGCTACATGACCCTCCAAATGGAGGTTTTTAGAGACTCACTCCAGAAAAAAAAAAGAAAAACCGGCAAGATGGCTCAGCGAGCGACACATATGTGAGAATTTTCTCAGTTAATAATTACAATAAACATTGTTTTATCTTAGTTTAATGTCGTTTCAATGTATTATGATCCTTTTCTTCATAACAAGAATAAAAATCACTAATAGTCTGATGATGTCTCGGTAGCTAACTAAATTTCCCCTTCCACCTTGAATGGTTTAATGGTTCCACCATTTAAGGTGGAACGGGAAAATTCAACCAAGAAGCTGGTGAATATCTGACTTCAGCTTCATATCACTGAAGAATTAGTGGTGGGTCTTTGAAGGCATATGATGCCCTAAATGTAACTAAAGCCCAGCAGTGAGGAGCTGAACTTTACCCTCCTCTGCTGTCACTGCAGACTGGCAGGGTCGCCTACAGAGCAGCGCTGGTAGCTGTTAATGAAGTCATGTTCTTCTTTATTTGAGCTTTATCCCATTTCAGAGGGAGGATTTCAATCACTACCCCTTGTAACTCAGTTCCGAGGGGAAGATGACACTCGAAAACAAGGGGTAGGTGTACAAATAAGACATTGGATTGAGCCTAACTCTGCCCTTTGACCCCTAGGCTTGTTAAAGCTACAGCAGGGGAGACGGGTGGTGGGTGGTTTTGTGGAAGGAGAGAACAGGAGGAATCATTAGAAACCGAAAAACCTAACGCGCCCTAAAGCTGTTCATTTGAACTCCGGCTGTGCAGTTTACTCCCCCATTAGCTTCAAAGAGACAAGCAGCTTCTCTAAGCCGCACCAGTTTGTTTTACGCTCAGCGAGAGTTTCAGCGCGCGCAGTGGGTGGCGTTTCAACTTGGGCCGCCCGCACAGCGAAGAAAAAGCTGAAATAATATCTTCCCTGTTTTTATTTCCAAAGTTTGGAAGCTGTTTTGAAAGTTCAAGTCGTCTAATAGGGCCTCGCTCAGTCTTACACTGCCAGAGGTGCCGGTTTCATATCTGCGGCACAGGAACGGCTGAATTTCTCCCCAATATCATCCGGGAGGAAGACGCCAGCAGCCTGCCGAGATCATAATGAGCGAGGCAAAGCTGTGAAGTGCCACAGGACACGCGCTTTTTATTGGACTTTTTTATAAGTAGCTCTGTAATAAAACTGTCCGATCCATCAAGAGGCGCTGAAATTGTGGAGCTCATCTACCTTCATTCAGGACAATATGAAAAAGATTAACTTCATAGAAACGTCCTTTTTTTATTTAAATGTAATTTTTATTAAAAACGAGAAGACAAACGTGGACGGAGGAGCAAGAGCATCCATCAGACTGAAATCTATAAGAAAAGAATAAAAGAAATTTAATAGTACAGTACAGGTCAAAAGTCTGGAATCACATTTTCATGAAGGATTACATAATAAGTGTGTAGATTGTTTCATATATTGATCTTCTGCCAAATTCTGCCAAATATATATATATATATATATATATATATATATATATATATATATATACACACACACACACACACACACACATCATCTAAACCGCTTATCCTTCTGGGTCACGATGGGGTGCTGGAGCCTATCCCAGCTGTCATTGGGCAGAAGGCAGGATACACCCTGGACAGGTCGCCAGTCCATCACAGTGTATATACAGTGGGGCAAAAAAGTATTTAGTCAACCACTGATTGTGCAAGTTCTCCTACTTAGAAAGATGAGAGAGGTCTGTAATTTTCATCATAGGTACACTTCAGCTATGAGAGACAAAATGAGAAAAAAAAATCCAGGAAATCACTTTGTAGGATTTTTAAAGAATTTATTTGTAAATTATGGTGGAAGATAAGTATTTGGTCACCCACAAACAAGCAAGATTTCTGGCTCTCACAGACCTGTAACTTCTTCTTTAAGAAGCTCTTCTGTCCTCCACGCGTTACCTGCATTAATGGCACCTGTTTGACCTCGTTATCTGTATAAAAGACACCTGTCCACAGCCTCAAACAGTCAGACTCCAAACTCAACCATGGCCAAGACCAAAGAGCTGTCGAAGGACACCAGGAAGAAAATTGTAGACCTGCACCAGGCTGGGAAGAGTGAATCTACAATAGGCAAGCAGGTTGGTGTGAATAAATCAACTGTGGGAGCAATTGTAAGAAAATGGACGACATACAAGACCATTGATAATCTCCCTCGATCTGGGGCCCCACGCAAGATCTCATCCCGTGGGGTCAAAATGATCATGAGAATGGTGAGCAAAAATCCCAGAACTGCACGGAGGGAACTGAGGAGTGACCTGCAGAGAGCTGGGACCAAAGTAACAAAGGCTACCATCAGTAACACACTACGCCAAGAGGGACTCAAATCCTGCAGTGCCAGGCGTGTCCCCCTGCTTAAGCCAGTACATGTCCAGGCCTGTCTGAAGTTTGCCAGAGAGCATATGGATGATCCAGAAGAGGACTGGGAGAATATCATGTGGTCAGATGAAACCAAAATAGAACTTTTTGGTAAAAACTCAACTCGTCGTGTTTGGAGGAAGAAGAATGCTGAGTTGCATCCCACGAACACCATACCTACTGTGAAGCATGGGGGTGGAAACATCATGCTATGGGGCTGTTTTCTGCAAAGGGGACAGGACGACTGATCCGTGTTAAGGGAAGAATGAACGGGGCCATGTATCGTGAGATTTGAAGCCAAAACCTCTTTCCATCAGTGAGAGCATTGAAGATGGATGGTGGCTGAGTCTTCCAGCATGACAATGATCCCAAACACACCGGGCAACGAAGGAGTGGCTCCGTAAAAAGCATTTCAAGGTCCTGGAGTGGCCTAGCCAGTCTCCAGACCTCAACTCCCATAGAAAATTTGTGGAGGGAGTTGAAAGTCCGTGTTGCCCAGTGACAGCCCCAAAACATCACTGCTCTAGAGGAGATCTGCATGGAGGAATGGGCCAAAATACCAGCTACAGTGTGTGCAAACCTGGTGAAGACTTACAGGAAATGTTTGATCTCTGTCATTGCCAACAAAGGTTATGTTACAAAGTATTGAGTTGAACTTTTGTTATTGACCAAATACTTATCTTCCACCATAATTTACAAATAAATTCTTTAAAAATCCTACAAAGTGATTTCCTGGATTTTTTTTTCTCATTTTGTCTCTCATAGTTGAAGTGTACCTATGATGAAAATTACAGACCTCTCTCATCTTTCTAAGTAGGAGAACTTGCACAATCAGTGGCTGACTAAATACTTTTTTGCCCCACTGTATATATAATGATACAAAATGGTAACTTTACAGGAGAAGGAAAAAAACACACTTTACTTTTAATGTAAGTCAATGGAACCAGAGTTTTTTTCCAAGTAATTTTGGGTCATTTGTTTTGGTCCATTCATCATGAAATTTACACACAATGTAAAGGTGAACAGGTATTTTCAAATGATTTCAAAAACTGAAAAACGACTATATATATGTAGATAGATAGACAGATAGACATATACAGAACACTGTGTATATACAGTAATATGAACCTTCAAAGTTCAGTCTTAGACATTGGTTGCACTTCCTGTTTCTCACGATCCAAGTAATTCTAAACACATTCAATGATGTTGAGGTCTGGACTCTGGGGAGGTCAGTCCGTTGTTTGCCAAGTTTGCTGTTTTGGTGTCTCCCAGGTCTTCCAGGTGGTTGTTAGGAGCCTCATTTTCTCTGTAGCTGTTAATCATGGTTGAACTCCAGTTTTGACAAATCTAGTTTGTTCACTGATTTTTCCTTCCTTTTGTGAGTGGACAATTTCCTTTTATTTGCTGAGTTTAACATATTGGGAAAAAATTATGAAATATGCAATAACCATTGGAAATGCACAATGTTATATTCAGCAAATAAACAATAATTGTGTATTAAAATGTGCAGAAGTGTGTCTCTGTAGAGAATCTGTTCACTTATTTACATGTAGAAAATCAACAGAATGTATCATCTGACCAGGGGAGCCAAACCATTTGCATACAACTATAGACAGATAGACAGATAGATACATAGACAGGCAGACAGACAGACAGAAAGAAAGTTAGATAGATGTCCTCTAGTTTAGCTGCATATTTTCCTGAAGGTTCATTAGTGAATACTGAGTGGTGACTATTTCATTAAACACTAAATGCTGTTTGATGTGATGTGATGAATTTTTAGTCCATTGCCGGTAAGGAGAGTTGGCACCTGGCCAGCATGGACATGACGGTCAGATCTACGAGGTTTGCTGCGTTTGACCTGCAGAAGGGAAAGGCCTACTGCTTCCGCATTCGGTCCATCAACAAGTACGGCATCAGTGACCCCTCGGAGCCCAGCCAGCCCATCACACTGGGAGAACCGCTCGGTGGGTGGACCCACATATTAGAGACCCCAAGAGTATAGGTGCAGTGTAAAGGACTGGATAGTGGAGTGAAAGTGACACTGTATGACCTACTGTTAGCTACAAAAATGGACAAACAAATGGACGGTTTTCAGGTTTTATGATGGCTGATGCTGTTTTCAGATATGTACTTTAGTTCATGTTTATGCAATATAAAAATCCCAAAAATAGCCATCCGTGGCCGGGAGTCCAAGAGAACACAGTTGGTCTCGCTGTGTCTGGATGGGTAGGATGGCCCCCCGTCTCCCCCCATCACTCAGTGTGATGCTAACCAGCACAGGTGTCTGTTAGCTGACATAACAAAACTGACGGTTGGCCATGCTGGTCTGTGCTGGCTTTTCTGACAGGGATATTTCTGAACAAAATCTGTCATAACTGTTATGACAGCATATGAAATCTGCCATGATGTGTTTATATCATTATGTCAGGTTAAAGTTACCATAACCACATAAGCAAGTCTGAGATTACTGAACCCAACACAGTTCAGGATAAGCGTGTGATAATTTACACTGCAAAAAATGGGATCTTGTCAAGTAAAATGATCTCAGATCTAGTCGATATATATCACATTTCCCATTTTGAGATGGTTGTGCATTTATTATAAGATTATTTAGCTTATTTCCAGATTTTTTTTTACTTGTTTTGGGTCATTTTATTAAGTAAAATTATCTGACTTGCAGATAATTTAGCTGGTTTCAAGCACATTTCTTACAACAAGCAAAATTATCTGTCAGTATAATGAGATAATTTTACTTGATAAAATTACTTAAAACAAGTAAAAAATGTCTAGAAATAAGTTGAATAATCTGAAATTAAGCTTACAACAATCTCATTGTTGTAAATATTAGATTTCTTTACTATATTTAAGATAATTTTGCTTGACAAGATACCATTTTTTTCCTGTTTAGGCTTGCAGTTAGCACAGTGCTAATTAGTTTGCATTCCTTGTTAGCTACATTATCCTTGTTGTTCCAGTGCAAAGCTGAAGACCAATCATGTCTTGGCTGATTGAGTACATTTGGGTCGGGGTGGGAAATTCTGTACATTCAGGTGTTTTTTGTGCTTTACTTAAATGTATATTCTCATTTGTAGGGGTGCCCGCTGCCCCCCACAGTGTTCAAGCCATCCCTGATACGGAGAGGTCAGTTCTGCTGCTGTGGAAAGAGCCTAAGGACACGGAGGGCATTCTGGGATACTATCTGTACTGCAGCGAGGTGGGGACGTCAGACTGGAGAACCATCAACAACAAACCAGTCTCTGGAGCCAGGTCTGATTCTCCCTGATGAAAGCATTAACATAACAAAATGAGTTGATTAGTGTGGAGCCACAGCCTCAGTTCATTTCCATACTGAATAAAACTTTTTTAATATGCCATCGTCCACTTCTACCCACCTTAGAGCACTTTTTAAATGAAACAGTAGAAGCCATATCGCCCCCTACACTTCCTGTAGTGTATTACAGTCTGTCAGATTGACTGTGTGGATCATATGAACATTATAGAGCACTTTTTAAATGAAACAGTAGAAGCCATATCGCCCCCTATACTTCCTGTAGTGTATTACAGTCTGTCAGAGTGACTGTGTGGATCATATGAACATTACGACTTGTTTTCTTTCTCAGGTTCACAGTGCACGGCCTGAAGACGAATAAGGAGTACGTCTTCCGGGTGAAGTCTGTGGGACGAGCAGGAAACAGTCGTTATTCCGAGGAATCTCGGCCAATTCGAGTCAAAGCTGCTAAAGGTAAGAAATTAGTACTGAACCTGTGGCCTTAAAGGACTTTTTTAAAAGGGCCACATATATTGAAAACTAAATTTTCCTCTTTTTTAACAAGATTTTTAACTATTATATAAACAATGTTAAAGTTTCAAGGCATACTGTTCTGGGGTCAGATGAAGGGCTCTCCTATCAGAGATCATTTGCAAATATGTGTCTTAAAGGGTCCATATCATACATTTTTCTTGTATTCTCTCCCTTGAGGTCCACTAATAACACTGGTGTGGTTTGATTTAACAAAAATGGTCATAAATCATTTTTACATGACCGTTTTCCACCCTCGGCCTCAAGACTGATAGCTGTGGTCTGCGCCTCATTTAAAAAGCAGTCAGAGCTAAAACACTCAGTAGAACTCAGTACGAATGGGCGGAGCTAAACTGCTGTAGGCTGAATAGGCAGTTAGATGTAAATGACTGTGTGAACTGGGGAGTGGATGTTTAGATTTTACGATGTTTACGTATTACTTCGGCCTCCATGATATGAGTACAGTAGCAGCCTGTTGAGTTCAAAGGGAAAAGCGAGGTTGTAAGCCAGATAAATGTTATTAAATGTGGGATATGGGCCCTTTAAGAGTGCTGGAGTTAAACTGTTGATGGTAATGAAAGCTGTTGTACATTTTTATATCTATCAAACATAACCGTGCTGAAAATATCATTACAATCATTAGGTTGGGAGGTTTCCCCATTGCAGGGGTCACAACCCAAATGTTAAGAAGAGCCTTTTTGTCCTTTCAACAAAAATCAAACCACCTTGGGAGCCACAACTCTTGGCTGTAAATATGTCTCAGTATGTGCTGATGTACTAGTATAGGCTAAAAAATATAATGTAAACAAAAACACAGACTTACTTTGCTCTGCTTTAAGCTTTAGCTCAGCTATAGCTGCTTTTCTCGCATCTCTGGCAGGAAACTTTTCCACAATTGTTGAACAGTTTCTTGTAAAACGTCTCTCAACATTCAATTTTTTTACAAGGTTAGCTTCTCATTCAACAGCTTCTTGTTAGAATTTTCCTGTTCTACCTTAAATGGCACCTGAGTCGCCAGAATGTAACTGCTGCACCATTTAAGGTGGAACGGGACAATTCAAATGAGAAGCTGGCGAATGAGAATCTGGCTTCAGCCACGTGACTTTTTAGTGTTTGATAGTTTCTTGTTGCAGATTAAACGTATCAGGATAATCAGGCGTGATTATAGACACAAATAAGTTCATTCGTCTCCAAATTATCGACGTTCGTCTTAAAACTTTCTCTTTGCCTTTTCGTTAGCCACTAGCTAGGCCAGATTGTTGTCTGCGCTACTATGGTGACCAGCAGACTGTGCTAATCTTCAGGGTTAAAGGGTGAATTAGCAGTTCTACATTAACTCCAGAGTTTAAGACCTTTTATTGTTAAACGGTGTTGAACGATCAGCAGAGCTTTATTTTACTGTAAAGGAGGATTATTTTATTTTTACCTACAAATCTAATTCTGCTGTGGAGCCACAACAGGACAGTAAAAGAGCCGCATGCGGCTCTGAAGCCACATGGTGCCGACCCCTGCCGTACTTAAACACACCCACTAAACCTGGCAATTAACAAATGAGTGTAATCATGTTTGTTTGAGTGGGTAAATCACCAAACTAGCTGGACCCGGCCTTCCAGGCCCAGAGCTGTGCACCCCTGGATTAAAAGGTGATAAAATTGGCTTCATGGTTAAAATTAGATACCACTAGTGTCTTGTAGCACAGATCCCGCTAGGAAGCCGGCAAATGCATCTGGAGTCCTTTACACTGTGAGATCAGCCCATCAGGAATACCATAAGTGACTTTTGGACGTCACCAGGAAGCAGCAGACACTCATAATGGTTTCTATGATTTATTTCAGCAGGGTAGTTCCTGCATTCAGACGCATAACAGAAATGCCTGTATGCAGCCTGTTATTCCGCTCCTGCAATCCTGGCATAACAGGGCCAGAAAAAAAAGGCTTGCTGCCGGTGAAGTCTTGGAATGGAATCGGCCACGTCTGGCACAGCTGTGACCTGTAATAGGCTGCCGGATAATGTGCTCGCGCCAGACCGCTACGCGCTAATGGCTACTCATTTCTACTGTCACTCACGCTGATGCAATTTACAAATACACCCATGCTCGATCAGACAACGATAGGGCTGACATTCTGTCCTTTCAGCCAGCAAATCTCTCTATGAATCGACAGATAAATGCACAGATAGACACTCCGCTCGCCGGCTAGCGCTGTTTTGTACAACATTATCCAGGCCTCTGCGCTGCTTCAGCCGATTTAATTTCCGGCCCCCAGAGACGGTACAGTGAAGAGCAGACTGATATAACAAGAAACAAGAAACAACCCGGGTGTGTTTTTTTTCCTCTGAACTCATTGCTATGCTACGTTAGCAACTTTATCCTCATCTATTAGTGTAAGCATTGTGCTTCATTGCTCTGTCAGCACATTAATTAGGGTTTGTATTTACATAAAAATCAAGTTTTCAGTCATAATGTGGTCACCAGTCTAAGTAATTACTCACATTTACATTTGAATAAAGGCCAATGTCGCTGAAAGCAGCGCTAATGATAAAAGGAAGCTAATAGGGCTGCACTAAGCATCACATCAACTGCGCACTGCTAGCTTTTATAGATGTTAGCCAAGCTAGCATGTTTGGATGAAGTATTCCTTTGAAAAGACATGAGATGAGAACCACAAATACATTATTAGCCACATTAGCTTTTGTTTTTCAGCAGAGCATTCATTGTTTAGGTGCTGCAGCTGCCCAACCTGCTTAAAAAGGCATAGAAATCATTAAAAGTTTCTGTTGGGCTGAATCCCAAATGGTGCAGCTAGTCCTTAGTTCTAGTCCTATATAAGTCATGAAACTATGGCTCTCACAGCCAAATAGTGCACTAAATGTTAAATTGGATGAATGCCAAATCGCTAGACATACACAGATCAGGCATAACGTTATGACCACCTCCTTGTTTCTACGCTCATTGTCCATTTTATCAGCTCCACTTACTATATAGGTGCACTTTGTAGTTCTACAGTTACAGACTGTAGTCCATCTGTTTCTCTGATACTTTGTTAGCCCCCTTTTACCCTGTTCTTCAGTGGTCAGGACCCCCATGGACCCTCACAGAGCAGGTACTATTTGGGTGGTGGATCATTCTCAGCACTGCAGTAACACTGACGTGGTGGTGGTGTGTTAGTGTGTGTTGTGCTGGTCTGAGTAGTTCAGACACAGCAGTGCTGCTGGAGTTTTTAAACACTGTGTCCACTCACTGTCCACTCTATTAGACACCCCTACCTTGTCGGTCCACCTTGTAGATGTAAAGTCAGAGACGATAGCTCATCTGCTGCTGCACAGTTTGTGTTGGTCATCCTCTAGTCCTTCATCAGTGGTCACAGGACGCTGTTGGCTGGATATTTTTGGTTGGTGGACTATTCTCAGTCCAGCAGTGACACTGAGGTGTTTAAAAACTCCAGCAGCACTGCTGAGGTTGATCCACTCAGCCACTCAAACTATAGTCTAAAACTGCCAAAGACACTCAACCACCACATTTGACAGAGCTTGCTGGTTTGTGTGGGGTAGTTTGGTGAGGTTGCCAGTCTTATGATGTCAGTTCAATGCACAGCAGTGTTAGCTTGCATGTAGCAGTGGTAATATTTCAGAAAACTAGCTTGGGCATTCTGATATCGACATGACACCAACTATACAATGATGAGTTTAGAGGCGGTTACAAAGTACGACAGATGAGAGTTGCAGTGCCTTTAGCTGGCTTTTTCATTGATGATAATGCAAGTTTATGTATATAGCATCTTTCATACACTGCATTCAAAATGCATTACAAATGAAAAAATACAAAGATTCAAATTAAAATTTAAAAAGATGTAAGAGAATATAAATTAAAAACGATTGAAACATGATTGAGGGCAGCACGGTAGCGCTGTTGCCTCACAGCGAGAATGACCTGGGTTCGATTCCCGGCCGGGCGACCAGGGTCATTTCTGTGTGGAGTTTGCCTGTTCTCCCCGTGTCTGCGTGGGTTTCCTCCGGGTACTCCGGTTTCCTCCCACAGTCCAAAAACATGCAGTCAGGCCGATTGGACACGTTAAATTGCCCCTAGGTGTGAATGTGTATGTCTGTCTGTCTGCCCTGCGATGGACTGGCGACCTGTCCAGGGTATATCCTGCCTTCCGCCCAATGACAGCTGGGATAGGCTCCAGCACCCCACCGCGACCCAGAAGGATAAGCGGTTTAGATGATGTATGTATGTATGAAACATGATTGAAACAATGATTGGAAGAGAAGATATTAAACATTAAATTTAAAATCATATGAAAAATGATTGAATCTAAAAAATGAATAAAATGCATTGCTGCAAGTCGCCCTGTAAAGCCTGAAATAATGATCTAAAAGTCACAGGCATTGGGATGGATTTGGCGGGAGTTTTTCACACCACATCGTACATATTAACGTGACACAAACAGGCTCAAAAAGAAGGTCCAGCTCGATGTTTAGGCCTCAAATGATCTCAGAATCAACATTACACTGATGAAGATATGATGACAATAGCACATAATTAACTCACATGCTCAGAATATGCGCCCTTCGTTTTGACTGAATTCTCTTTGAATCATCCTCTTGGTAATTGTTCTTCCGCACTTACACGTTTCCACCAGAGGGGTCTCCAAATCCCCGAAACCTGCACTGTTCGAAATAAAGGTTCAGTGCAGGGTACATGTTTTGCTTATCAAGGTACAAACAACGTAAATATTCCCTCAAAGGTACAACAGTGGTTTCAAGGTCTGATTGTGAACCTTAAATAAGTTTTTCCAGGTGAAAAAGTTTGTATTTGTACCTTTTCATAACCGAATGTTTTAAAACAGAACAGTAAAATAAAAAGCATAATTATGTTCCCTGACTAAAGTTACTGAGATGTACCCTTAAGGGTCCTAACCCAGTGACAAGAGGGGCACTGCCTCAGTGACACTTTACTATCTTTAGTTCTGAGAGTGTGTAGTGTAGTTTAGAATTGAAGTGATTGTACAAAGGGAATGTTTGAATGAAGACAGTATTCCATAATATCAATTCCAGGCCCATGCAGTATTCCTTCAATCCACGCTACAGCCACAACACTCCTCGTGTCTCGCCAGCTAATTCATGTCCACCCCTCCTGAGACTCAATCCGCTAATCACCCAGCCCAGAGATGACTGGCACCTGACTGGCATCACTTAGCTGGATAAACTGCTCACTAAATGGAGTGATTGCTGTCAGCAGTGGTTTCCAGTCCCACTGCTTCATGTTTTCCAGCTCAAAACAGAACCGAATCACGAAGGGTTTGATAATTAGCTGAAAAGCTGAGCGATACAGCCGGGAAATTCTAAACTGTGTGAGGACAGTGGGCCAACGGGGAAGCATCAGCCTGCAGGCTCGACTCACTTTCAGTCCCTTGACAAGGCCGTTTTGGGTTCTTGATTAATTATTTTACTTTTTCAGTTGCCTAGAGAAATTCAGCCTACATTTATTTTATTTCATTTTATTCATTTTTCAAGACATTTATGAGAAGATTAGATATCAGATTATCCACTTGTGTAAGGAAAGTAAAAGGAAAAAACAGCACTCTCCAAAACTGGAATCTACTGAGAAAATGGGGCTCCTAACAACCACCTGGAAGACCTGGTAGACCCCAAAACTGCCCCCATCAGATAAACAGCACTTAAAGCTTTCATCTCTGAGAGAGAGGAGAAAATCAAGCTGCTTCAGATCTGAAAACATCCACAGGTGTTTCTGTCCATCCTTCCACTGTGAGAGGACGACTCAGCGCTGTGGGTCTGAAAGGATGTGTAGCTGTTCAAGAAGAACCTCACTGAGAAAAGGAGACGGACACATCAAACAAAGAAGCTGAACGATGGACTGACCACCCCAGAGTCCAGACCTCAACACCACTGAATGAGTTTGATTACTTCAGAAAATGATCAACCAGCTTCTAAGACTGAACTTTGGAGGTGTGTCTGCAGATTCTTTGAGGAGCTGAAAGTGAGTCTCCTGAAAAGAATGGAAGTAGGAATGAAGCTGTTGAGGCTTCTGTGTAATTTTCTTTCTTTCTTGATGCTGAAAATAAATAACTTGTACTTAAAGGCCATTTTGGAGATGAAATAAATGAAAGGTGGTCTCTGACTTCAGCACAGTAATGTACATGTTTATATAGCATGATATAAAACACCAACAGTTTATTGTCATTTTTATGGGCCTGAATATTCTTTTCTCATTACAGTCTCTAATGCTGGTTCATTAGCAGCTTTTCAGATTTCAGTTTCTTTTCATGGTGATGATTATTATTTTTAAAATGTGTACACATTTGTTATTTTTTTGCAGTAGCAGATGAAAGTGATTTTCTTTTGATAATACACTATTATATTATATATATTATATATATATATATATATATATATATATAGTGTGTTACATTGTACATCATTATGTATGTATTATATTATCATATATATTTTATAGGACGTGGTATACTATAGTTTATTTTTATTATTTTTATAAACTTCATATACAATTCATTTTATTTCCTTTTTTTGTTCATCATAAAATTGCTGAATTTAACATATTGGAAAAAAATGTGGTCTATGCAAAAGTTTTATATATATATATATATATATATATATATATATATATATATATATATACATATATACAAATAATAATTTAATTTTACTTTATTCTAATAATGCTGTCCCCCTCCTCCCCCACAGTGGTTCCATCTGCTCCCTCTGGTGTATCTCTGCTCTGTTGCTCTGGCAGTGAGCTGGTGATTGGTTGGAGAGCCCCTGCCAGTCACGGTGGCGTCCCGGTGCAGGGCTACTACCTGGACCAGCGGGAGAAATCTCAGAGTGTCTGGAAGGAGGTCAACGTAAAGCCTGTCAGAGAAAGAGTGTACACGGTTAGTCAACATTTCTGACCAGCAGCCTGTAATACCACAAACATCATCGCTTCTCCATGGAGGGAGTAGTACAGTCACTTCTGCTGTCAGTAGGTTAACATAGCACGTCAGACTGTTTCCCAGCGCAGTTCTCTTCCCCTCCTGGACAGTCCACGTTTTTGTTCCAACCTCACAACACATAAGGATTACATTCTACAATCGTTCTTCATCATCTCACAAGGAGAAAACTGGTTTGCAGTCAGTCGCCTCTCATTCCATTAAGTCTTATTCAAACTTTTTTCTTTCTCCTGTACGGTTGGATGTTTGACGTTTTGTCCTGACAGTGATCAAGTGTGTTTGAAATTACTTAACAACTCGATGTAGTTTGAATTAGTCTGATTGACTACATGTAGGTTATTAGTATGGAAGGCCATTTCCATCAGGTAGAGGACATTTTGGTTTAGTATCTCAAAGTAATGACTTACTATGTTGAAACAATTATTTATTTTCTTACAATTTTTACTTAAAATCTAAAATAAAATGACTTACTCTGTTGAAATATTAACTTATTTCCTCAAATCTTTACTTAGTATCTCAAAAGAATTACTTAGTATGTCGAAATATTAACTTATCCTCTCAAAATTTTGGCTTAGTATCTCATGAATGACTTATTTTCCAAAACTTTTACTTAGAATATTAAAAAACTATTAAAATATAAACTTATTTTGTCAAAAATTTTGACTTATTATCTTAAAATAATGACTTATTATGTTGAAATAATGACTGATTTTCTTAAAAATTTTACTTAGTAAGCCATTCTTATGATATACTATGTCAAAATATTAACTTATTTACTCAAAATTTTGACTTAGTATCTCAAATGAATGACTTATTTTTCAAATATTTTATTAATAATATTAATATTTCAATCACTTGTGAAAATATAAACTTGTCAAAAATTTGACTTAGTATCTTAAATTAATGACTTACTATGTCAAAATAACATTTTTTAAATAATAATGACGTTCTTAGAATTGTACTTAGAATCTCAAAATAATGACTTACTTTGTTAAAAAAGTAACTAATTTTCTTAAGATCCTGACTTAGTATCTCAAAGTAATGACTAACTATGTTGAAATAATGGCTTGTATTCTCAAATGTCTTGATTTTGAGATACTAAGTCAAAATTCCTAGAAAATAAGTCATTATTTTGACATACTGTGTTCACATTTCGAGAAAATAAGTCATCATTTTGATCTACTAACACCAGAAACAGGGAAGTAATAAAACAGGCCACTCTTTTCTGCCCTGCCTGGTGCGAATGGGCCTCCACACAAGAGCAACAGCTTTCTGACTGTGTCGTTTTTTTGCTGAACTGTCTCTTTGAGTCAGTCACCTGGTGCCAGGCAGTGTCCAGTTGGTCTAATTAAAAGCCCAGATTAAAAGCTGATTTTTTAAACTGAGATCTCTCTTATTAAAATGCGAGTTGGGATGGTTTCTGTGGAGTTTATCTGTCAGTGTTTTGACTAAGACTTCTGGCCTGTGACAGCCATGGTGAAGCCTAAGCTCACAGCTCCCTCTGCTGGTGCTCTCAGGCGATGGAGACGTGTCCCATTTTATTAACATGTCTCATGGAAAAATTTTTTTTTTGCCTTTAATTCGCCCAGGCTGCTCATACAGCGGCTCAGTGTAAATCATGTTGATCAGGACACATTGATCTGGCTGTGACTTAATACTCCAGGCACTTTGTTGTCACAGCTTGTGAAGGTGATGTTAACGATTTCCGCCAGCGATCGGCCCTCATCAGGCAGTCGGGGAAGCATGCAGCCCATCCAATCTCATTAAAAGCTGTCTGTATGTGTCTGTAGCTCAAACCTTTTACTGCAATGTTCCTGATCCTGCAGCTTCTCCCCATGCGACCTCAGAATGGACTGTTGCCACCCAGCGGCAGTAAATGGGTCTAGCTGGCACCAGTAGACATTGTACCAAAACTTCAGCTTATTTTCTTTTAGCTACGTAACAAACTTTTGTCCATTTTTATAGCTATTTTATTGCTAACAGTGTCAGAAACCACTATAAGGCATTGCCCCACTGATTTTCCAAAACTTTTTCATAATTAAATGGTTACTATGTAAACAAAGTCATGCAAATTGGTTTAGTGTGAATCCTCCGTTCTGGAGAAACTTGCCGAATCAGAATTGTTCACAGTGGTGGTGATAGGAACCAGACGTCCACCTCTAAAAGCTCCCTCACACAAAGTTACTACATTATTAAATGGTTATGAATATATTGCCTGACGTCTGACACATTGTTTTATGATATTTTAAAGATAAAATTTTGGCATACAACTCTTTTTTAATACATCCATGGTATCGGCTGTTGTGAGGCAAAATAATCCCCCCAAAAAACTTATTTTTTCAGATTTTCCACTATTTTCCATCAACATTCCATATAAACTCAGGAGACTCGTGTAGGTTCACTGGTGGTTTTGGATAGTAAATAAAATGTCTATATTTGTGTTGTAGTCATGGCAACCCCTGGTTTCCTGTCACCACCACTGTAAATAAATCTAAGTTAGTAAGATTTTCTACAGTGAATCAGCCTTCTTTACATCTCAACCACTGAATTATGGAGAAACTTGGAAAAGTAAGTGGAATTTAACAACTTCGAAAAGATATATTTTCTTGCCAAACTATTGCTTTAATTTGGTTACCTGTGTAACAATATTAATACTGTATTTTTAGTGCAACTGTGTGACCAAGATTAGGGTAGTTCCCCTAATTACGTTCATCAACAGTAATTGTGTTTTGTCGAGTGCTATGGATTCAGGCATCTGCAGATGCGATAAGCGCTTCACAGGATAAGTGGCCCTCAATGAAGCAATAAGTGGAGAGATCAATGCTCCTAAACGCCCTTTAGATATTAGTATCTCTGAGTGCTTCAGCACTTCAGTGGAACATCTTTAAACACAGCATACCCAACAGGCCCAACAGTGACGTTGGGATTAATTATGAAGTGCAATCACAAGTTAGTGTGGCTCTGATTATATACACTGGGAGTTGTAGTGTAAACTGTGAGCATCTCGATGAGGCGTCCATACTAAACTCCACTGTTAGCTTACAGAGGCATTTCAGCAGTAGACTTTAATACGTTGTTGTGTTATACTGTATCCTGTAGTGCAGCATTGTATCCCTCAGCCTCATCAGTTTGGCAGAATATATGATTTTCTATCTTTTTTATGTTTTCAATCATCACTATTCTCTCGCAACAATACCCAGCATGCATCACACAAATACATTATACCACCATTGGGAAGCTCTGGTGTCAGTAAATCCTGACTGCTAGCCTAGTTAAGCCAAATTTGCACAATTTCCCTGCCCTTTACACTGAGTGTGTTTACATGCACTTCGTAATCTGATAACTGCAGGAAATCAGATTTTGTCAGTCATCCAATTAACGCGTTTATATGCTCTTGGGTAATCAGATAATGAGGAAACTCTAGGTCTACATGAGTCAGACAGTTATCAGATTTCTGCTTTACAACCAGCCAATAAACTCACAGAAGAAGACGTGATGTAAACATAACGTAAACATAAACTTCATGCCGCGGCTTTTGAAAAGAAACATTGTACAACTTTAACTGTAAATATAAACATACATCATCTAGAAGATGAAGAATATTTAAATCCTTCATTTCGTCAAGCATGTATTTGGTTTCAGCGTCGCTCCAAAAGTGTCTTGCAGCGGCGCTGCTCGCTTATTTCCGGTACCACGGCCTGTTTTCGCACATGTGCAGACTGAGAAATCTGAAAGAAATCAGAGTAAGAGTTCACATGCACTGAGAAATCTGATTACTGATTTCTTAATCAGATTTCTGGATCAGAGTATAGTGTTTATATAACCATTTGAATAATCAGATAACCGCAGAAATACGATTATGATTGGATTGTTGAGTGCACGTAAACGCACTCATTATTTTAAAATTTCATGGTGAATGGACCAATAGGAATGGTCCAAAAATGCCACACTAGAAAGTCTCCAACTTAACACATACTTAACAACGTAACAGCTCCACCTGGTTTGTTGCAAATGTGTGATGATTGAGACATGCAGTTTGCACCATGTAGCGCTGTTCGATTCCAGAAATTAGGGATGTGACTCTGATTCCGATTTCAAGTGATATGAATCTCCATTCCACAAACCAATATCTCACTCTATATATGGGAAAACCTGAATGTCTCCGTGTGCAATTGAGTTCAAGGCTTTGGAGTCGACTCTTGATTCCCAAATGCCTGAAATTGATTGCTTTTGGGATTGACTTCCAGCCCAACCCTGCTAGAAGAAATAGCATGTCGCTTTTACCTTGAGTTGTCTTGACTTTGAATCAGACTTCATCCACTATTTCAGCTCTTTCTTCTCTGTCTTTTTCACAGGTGTCTGGTCTTCTAGAGGGCCACTATTACCAGTTCCGTGTCTTTGCATCCAACATCATTGGAATCAGTAAACCGTCTGGACCCAGCGAGGCTTTTCTCTGTGAGCGGTGGACGATGCCTGAACCTGGTGAGAGCATAACAGATCAGGTCTTTCTTTAAAGACTCTATATCATGGATACTTCCTTAACAAGCCCCACCCATTCAGCCAACAGCAGTTTAACCCCACCCATTCAGCCTACAGCAGTTTAGCTCCACCCATTCAGCTACAGCAGTTTAGCCCCACCATTCAGCCTACAGCAAATTAAGCCCCACCATTCAGCTACAGCAGTTTAGCTCCACCCATTCAGCTACAGCAGTTTAGCCCCACCATTCAGCTACAGCAGTTTAGCTCCACCCATTCAGCTACAGCAGTTTAGCTCCACCATTCAGCTACAGCAGTTTAGCTCCACCCATTCAGCCTACAGCAGTTTAGCTCCACCCATTCAGCAGTTTAGCCCCACCATTCAGCTACAGCAGTTTAGCCCCACCATTCAGCTACAGCAGTTTAGCTCCACCATTCAGCTACAGCAGTTTAGCTCCACCCATTCAGCCTACAGCAGTTTAGCTCCACCCATTCAGCAGTTTAGCTCCACCATTCAGCTACAGCAGTTTAGCCCCACCATTCAGCTACAGCAGTTTAGCTCCACCATTCAGCTACAGCAGTTTAGCTCCACCCATTCAGCCTACAGCAGTTTAGCTCCACCCATTCAGCAGTTTAGCTCCACCCATTCAGCCTACAGCAGTTTAGCTCCACCCATTCAGCCTACAGCAGTTTAGCTCCACCCATTCAGCAGTTTAGCTCCACCATTCAGCTACAGCAGTTTAGCCCCACCATTCAGCTACAGCAGTTTAGCTCCACCATTCAGCTACAGCAGTTTAGCTCCACCCATTCAGCCTACAGCAGTTTAGCTCCACCCATTCAGCAGTTTAGCTCCACCCATTCAGCCTACAGCAGTTTAGCTCCACCCATTCAGCCTACAGCAGTTTAGCTCCACCCATTCAGCAGTTTAGCTCCACCCATTCAGCCTACAGCAGTTTAGCTCCACCCATTCAGCCTACAGCAGTTTAGCCCCACCATTTAGCCTACAGCAGTTTAGCCCCACCCATTCAGCCTACAGCAGTTTAGCTCCACCATTCAGCCTACAGCAGTTTAGCTCCACCCATTCAGCCTACAGCAGTTTAGCTCCACCATTCAGCTACAGCAGTTTAGCCCCACCATTCAGCCTACAGCAGTTTAGCTCCACCCATTCAGCCTACAGCAGTTTAGCCCCACCATTCAGCCTACAGCAGTTTAGCTCCACCCATTCAGCCTACAGCAGTTTAGCTCCACCCATTCAGCAGTTTAGCTCCACCCATTCAGCCTACAGCAGTTTAGCTCCACCATTCAGCCTACAGCAGTTTAGCCCCACCATTCAGCCTACAGCAGTTTAGCTCCACCCATTCAGCCTACAGCAGTTTAGCCCCACCATTCAGCCTACAGCAGTTTAGCTCCACCCATTCAGCCTACAGCAGTTTAGCTCCACCCATTCAGCAGTTTAGCTCCACCCATTCAGCCTACAGCAGTTTAGCTCCACCCATTCAGCCTACAGCAGTTTAGCCCCACCATTTAGCCTACAGCAGTTTAGCCCCACCCATTCAGCCTACAGCAGTTTAGCTCCACCATTCAGCCTACAGCAGTTTAGCTCCACCCATTCAGCCTACAGCAGTTTAGCCCCACCATTCAGCCTACAGCAGTTTAGCTCCACCCATTCAGCCTACAGCAGTTTAGCCCCACCATTCAGCCTACAGCAGTTTAGCCCCACCCATTCAGCCTACAGCAGTTTAGCTCCACCCACTCAGCCTACAGCAGTTTAGCCCCACCCATTCACCCAACAGCAGTTTAGCTCCACCCACTCAGCCTACAGCAGTTTAGCTCCACCCATTCAGCCTACTGCAGTTTAGGCACACCCATTCAGCCTACAGCAGTTTAGCTCCACCCATTCAACCTACAGCAGTTTAGCCCCACCCATCCCCATTGAAGTGATGTGGAGTGTTGTTTCTGCAGTCTATAGCAGAGTTATTGGAGTGAAATATACGATTAAACATTGTGCTGTTCCGGGCTGTCAGGAAGCAAATGGATCATTTCACAGTAACAAACACAGCCTTTTTAATTTTAAAGGATAAAGAGAGATTAAAAAATATGCAACAAAGTACTACACAAACATTACGAGTGGCAAAAAATACAGCTTGACAGAAAAATGTAGAGTATGGGCCCTTTAAACCCACATCCATAAACAAGGAGGAGGAAAAACCCAATTAAAGCTACAGTGCTGGAGATTTATTTCCACTGTCACAGTGCAGAGGACTCGGAGGTTGCTCATGTATATCGGGATGGCTGCGCTAGTTTTCCTAATGAACGGATAGAGACAGGTGCAGGCTATTAATTCCACAGAACAGGCTCTCCCCGGGTTCTTAATAATTTAAACGTGACTGAACATTGTTAAGAGAATTAACTGCTGTGCATTTAAAAGGACAGAAAAAACAGGATATTTCATTATAGCCAAGTCAGAGCTTTGGAGTACATAATTATTGTTTGTTATCCTGCCACAGCCGCCGTGTCTGTGTGGATGTTATTGTGAAAAGCCCCTGTGGGATACCGATCGATGCAGACTATTATTTTTCCTTTATTTGTCCCCGCTGACGGCACATTCACATTAAGGGGTGTTTTTTTATTTGGCAGGCAATGAGGGTTCATATACAATACACTCCCATCCACTGCCAGAACAGGAGGCTGCCAGATACTGTTTCTCCTCTGAATAACAACTGATGCCCTGAATCATGATGCTTTATTACCTGGATGACATTTTCCCCCTTGCAGAGGAGAGAAATGTGCCATGAGGAGCAAAAAGAACAAAATCATGGGTGGATAGATGAATGAATAAATTGGCATGCTGATGGAGAGATATAAATGGATAGATTGATGGATGTGGATGAGCTGACTGATGGAAAGATCAATGGATGGATGGGTGGATGGATGAAATTTCATACTGATTGATGGTTGGGTGGATACAAGGAAGAACTGGCATACCAAAGGAAAGATGGATGGATGGATGGATGGATGGATGGATGGATGGATGGATGGATGGATGGATGGATGCGTGGATAAATGGATTGGTTAAATGGATACACAGATGACCTGACACACTGATGGATCAATGATGGATCGATGGATAAAGTGGCATACTGATGGAGGGATGGATGGGTGAATGGATGGCTGGATGGATAAACTGACATACTGATGGATGGTTGGGTGGATAGAAGGAAGAACTGGCATACCATGGGAGAGATAGATGGATAGGTGGATGAAGGGGTGGATAGATGGATAAACTGACATGCTGATGGAGGAATGGATGGATAGATGGATGGATGGATGAACTAACATAATGATGGGGCGGATGGATGGATGGATGGATGGATGGATGGATGAACTGGCATATTGATGAATGGAAAGATGGATGGATAGATGGATGGATGGATAAACTGACATACTGATGAAAGGATAAATGGATAGATTGATGGATGTGGATGAGCTGACATGCTGATGGAGAAACAGATGAATGGATGGATGGATGGATGGATGGATGGATAAACTGACATAGTGATGGATCAATGAATAGATGGATGGCTTACTGATGAATGGAGAGATGGATGAATGGATGGTTGGGTGGATGGATTTACTGACATACTGATGGATGGATGGATGGATGGATGGGTGTATAAACGAACATAGTAATGGGTGGGTGGATGGATGCATCCAAAGATAAATGGATTAAATGACATATGGATGTATGTATGTATGGATGGATGGTTGGATAGTGAATAGGTGAATGAACTGAAATGATGGATGGATGGCTGGCTGAATGGATGGATGGATGAATTTGTTAATTTGGCCGATGTTTTTAATGATGTCAGAGCAGCTATAAGTGGCTGAACCTGCACCTTCTGTCCTACATGGTGTTCTGTCTTGTACAGATGTCACAAAGTCAGTCTATAGTTCAGCTTCTTCTCAGTAACTCTCTCTGATCTTCCACAACATTACTAGAAAGTTATATTGAAGTCTTGTTTGAGAGTCACTCTGCTGGTATGGCTGATCATTAAACTCATCTGATTGTTGTTTGTTCACTTCAAAAGCGATAACGCGCTCCTGTGTCACTGACAGGCTGCCCGTATGACCTGCAGTTGAGAGAGGTGAGGCGCGAGTCTCTGGTCTTGATGTGGGCGGAGCCTCTGTACCAAGGCCAGTCACAAGTCACTGGGTATGTGGTGGAAATCAGTGAGGGGGAGGAGTCAGAGGACTGGACTGCAGTGAGCCAGGAACCAATCACAGACACCCACTTAAAGGTCAGTATGTAGCTTTTCTTAGAGGAAAACACAGTTTTCCCCTTTTACTCCAAACACAGTCAGTTAATAGTTAGCATGATCTGGCCTGTATAATGCAAACAGGCCCTTTCTGCCTTTCACTGATAGCATTAGCAATTCATCCTGAATCCCAAACATCAAAATGCAAAGAAAATGTGTTTCCATATATTTTATATATAGTCCAGTTTGTAATATATTTCCATGTAAGTGTAATATGATATGAAAATATTACAAATTGATACTATTGCGTATATTTCATCTACGTATGAGCATATAGTTTAATATATTGTCATATATGTTCATATATATATGAGTCGTAGTCTAAACAGCTTCCGGTTGGTTGTTAGGAATGGAAAACAGAGGCGGCAGCCCAGTGCTAGGACTCTTTGATGAAAAAAATGGCACAGTTAAATACATTTAGCATGTATATTTTAACATATCACATATATTGCAGGTATATTTTTAATATATAAGCAAATATATGTGCACACATTTTTCTTCCATTGCTGTCAGCAGTGGAGTATTAAAGGTAGTCCCTCAGTTTGATAAAAAAATGCTATGATAATGCTAATTTCTGCTAGCATCCCTATAAGATTTTGTATAGTCTGTTAGCATTAAACCTTGCTTACGCTGGTGCACGTGAATATTTTTTGGCCATTCTAGATTAAACACAGACATCTGAAGTTTGTAACAGACTTTATCATATATCTGAGCTTGTATGTGTCAGTTTTAAAGTGACTCTGTCAGTAAACAGTTCTGCCGCCGCTGTTTTCCATTCCTAACAACCAACTGGAACCTGGTTAGTGATGTATCTAGTACTTTCAGAAGACCTACAGTGACATTTTACTCAAGAAATTGTGATTGGTTGATTCCTCTGTCACTTCTTATTTATGTTGGTGGTTAATTTAATGTGTGAGGCCTTCAGTCCAGCTCCTGAAGTCCTAACCAATGGGAGAGCTTTGCTTGGTCTACTTAGATACCACAGAGAAAAAAAAATCATTTTCCACTGGATGTTTAAAGATGTTTCCAAACAAAACTTAATAATAAAATAAGAGTGTCACTACAATAATTGCAGAGTTTAAATATGACAAGTGTGGTGATAATATTGAATAAAAAAATGAATGTTATAAAAAATGTATATTTTTTTTAGTTCTTAGAAATCATTAGGCCTTCCCTGAAGGTCTTGGAGGCCCCGAAGGTTCCCCTCTGGCTGTCAGGATTGTAAATAAAGCTGTGACTGTAATGAAAATGAAGTTTCAGGCCCATTTGTCTGAAACAGGGCTTGTTTGCCTGCTCTCACTCCCTCTGTATAATTGATCTGTTTCCTGATCTAACTGATAGAAACCATTTGTTTCCTGGAACTGCTGTAGAAGCAACACCGCAAGTGTGAACTTCTCTCTGAAAACATGATGATGAAGCCACTTCTAACTCAGATCATCTGATACGAAAGTTCAAACAGGGTCTGAATAACAATGTAAAAGCATTTACCTGAAGATAAATGTGAGATTTAAACGTTTAAATGTTGTTATTAGATATCCAGGCTGCAGGCTGGTCAGACGTACCGCCTACGTGTGTCTGCAGTCAACAAGGCTGGAGTGGGAAGACCCTCTCTACCCACTGAACCAGTCACAGCCCAGACCAGGCCAGGTCAGTCCTTTTAAAGGAATACTACTCATTTTCAGCCTAATCTCTATCTGGCTGACCAGATAGAGATTATCCAATAATAACTTGTACAGTATGGATTTAAGTATTATAAACTACACCCCAAAAGATTGCTTAGATGTTGCATTTAATATTTCAATTAATACAAGGTAAAATAATAAGATAATTTTATGAGTAATGTATTTACAAAAAAAGTGCTTGCTAATTCCTTGAGATTTATTTATTATTTTTGAAATGTGAGTATTTTGGATATTAATTTTATTAGAACTTCATCCTGTATATCAATTTCATGAGAAAATTAAATAGATTTTAGTTTTATTAGAATATAATTCTAGATGTTACTATATTGGAATTTCATTCTGGATAGTAATGTTGTTTAACTATATTTTGGAGATATTTTTATTAGAACTTCATTCTAGATATCAGTTTATTACAATGTAATTCTAGATATTAACTTTATTCTGGATATTAATTTTAATAGAACTTCATTCTGGAAATTAATTTTGGTAGAACTTTATTCTGGATATTAATTTTATTAGAAATGTATTCTATTTCATGAGAAAATCTATTGGATTTTACTTTTAATAGAATATAATTCTAGATATCACACTAATGGAATTTCATTCTCGATAGTCATTTTACTAGAACTTCATTCTAGATATAAATTTTATTAGAATGTAATTCTAGATATTTTATTACAAATTTATTCTGGATATTAATTTTATTAGAACTTTATTTTAGATATTAATTTTATTAGAATTTTATTCTGCATATTAAGTTTATTAGAAGCATATTTTAGACATTAATTATATTAGAACATCATTTCAGATATCAGTTTAATTAGAATGTAATTCTAGATATTAGTTTTATTAGAACTATATTTTGGATATTATTTTTATTAGAACTTTATTCTGGAAATTCATTTTATTTGAATTTCATGCTCGTTTGCTCTCTGAAACTCAGCCTTGTTGAGCTGTCAGTATCTCATTATCATAATACATTAACACTGAACTGTAAACATGCTCTTTCACTTCTTTACTGCTGCAACTCTCAGGAACCAAAGACATCGAGATTGGAGTCGATAACGATGGCTTCATCTTCCTGAGCTTCGAGGCACCTGAGACGGAGGATGAAGGCCAGATTAAGTGGAGTAAGAACTACAGAGAGGCTGTGGATGCGGGAAGAGCTCATCTGGAGACCAAGCAAAACAAGTACGATCATTACTGAGGTCCAAACTTCATCCTGGAAAACTTTAAGAAGCACATGTGTAATGCTGAGTAATGATTGTATGTAGATATAGCATAGATGCTGAAAAAACACAAAGAAGCCACAGAAAAGGATGCAGTGGTAAAGTATTTAGTCATAAAAGAAATAAAAATGCAGAAGAAAAGACATAAAAGTATCTGTGGCAAAAACATACAGTAGTCATAAAGATTAGGTGCTAAGGCATAAAGATGCAGTGGTTAAGTTGTAACTATGAAAAGACACATAATAAGTGGTAAAATGTGGACATTAAGAAGTAAAAATGCAGTAAAAAAACAAAGACTCCAGTGTACAGATGCAGTAGTAAGTAGTCAAGTTGATAAAGATACAGTAGTGTGTAGTAAGGAGTTAGTGGTAAAGTGTAAAAGCACTAGAAAAGCCATGAAAAGACGTGATTAATGGAATGGTTTGGCAGGAAAAAATAAATGTACATAATTTTCCCCAGATGTGGTTTAGAAGATTAACACTGGAGCTACAAGGCTAAAGTTGCTAACAAAATAATAGACATCAATAGTCACCCAAATCTTTACTGTAAATACATCCCCAAAACTTCTCTCAAACCCCTGCTTCTCTAAAACCTCTAGACATCAATAGTCACCCAAATCATCTCTGTAACTCATAGTCAAAGAAACAGTTGCACCCAGAAGGAAGTGTCTGATTGCAATGCTACTCAGAAAGAAGATAAAGGTTACCTGAACAATAAATGATTAAAAATTTAGACTGATATGGTTGATATTTATTGACCTGCACATACAGAAGTAGTGTCTCTGTGTTTGGCGTTGGGCCGCCATGTTTACTAACGCATCATGCCAGACGTCTCGAGGTTCGTAATGGTGTCCTGCGATAATCCGTCCCATGGAGCTTGAATACTCTCACGCTGTGCCTGCAGATCCAACATCATCCCACACGCGCTGACCATGATGCCTCCACACATGGATTCGCTGGTCGTCTCCACCAAGACAAAAAGCAGGACTCGTCACTGAAGACGATCCGCTGCCATTCTGAGTCACTCCATGACAGTCTGGCACGACACCATTGCAGTCTTTGGCGACGGTGACGTGGTGTTAAGGGCAGTCGTCGTAACGGCCTGCGTGCATGTAGTCCTGCGTTGTGCAGCCATTTGCCAATGGTGCTGGCACTAACAGAATGACTCACGGGGGGCATCGCTATTCGCTGAATGTCCACAGACATGGCTGTTGGGTCAATTCGCGCATGTCAGACAACCTGTCAGTTCCTCCTCTCCGTGGTTTGTGTAGGTGTCTCAGATCCTTCATGTCCCTGGTGCATGCCTTCTTCTATTCACTGCCACCAACTGCGTGCTATGGTTATATCCGCACGACCAGTATGGCACGCAATACGTCAATAAGACCATCCTGCTTCCTGGAGCCCTATGATGCGACCCCTCTCGAACTCTTCCAACTGCTCGAATTGCTTTCGAACTCTTCTCCGAGGCAAACTTCACTTGCAATGGATGCTCCCAACACAACAGCACGAGTCAGAATGGAAAGCATGCACAACGGGACGACCTCATATAGTCAGTCAGGTACAGTGATAAGGCCCATCCTTGTTTACGTCACGTGCGGCCGAGTGTGAAACTTCAATCATTTGCATGTCTCACGAAGTCAAACCTACCCACCAAGTTTCATTCTTGTCGGTTGATTCCTTCTGGGTGCAACTATATTGTTGATTGTCTTACTTCTCTAATAAACACTAGATGTCAATAGTCACCCAAACTTGTTCTGACAACACATAGTCAAAACTTCAAACCACTTCCAGGTCTTCATTAAGGGAGTGCGGACTTGTCGATATGGCACAGTATGACTTACTGCAAACTATTACACAAAGTTTTACAGTATAGTTGAACGCTACTTCAGACAAGTGGTTTGGGGATGTATTTACATAAAAGATTTGGGTGACTACTGGTTTTTAATGTTTGTTTACAATGTTAGCCTCATAGCTCCAGAATAAAACTGAAGAAACACCAAACCATGGAGACCAAGCATGTCTTTGCTGATCAGCTTCATATAGAAAGTTGTGTACATTTGATCTTCCACCAAACTGTTCCTTTAAGGTGCATGGATATCTCTGCTGTCGGAAGAAAACCTTGTATCTCCATTTTTGCCATTTTTCAGTTTTTGGCATAGTTTAAAAATGCCTGTTGCTCTTTACGTTGTGTGCAAATTTTATGAAGAATGGACACAAAGAAATGACCCAAAATGAAAAATCTGGTTCCACTGACTTACATTAAAAGTAATGTAGGTTTTTTCTTTTCCTGTAAAGTTATTATTTTGGAGAAACGAGGTTTTCTTCCTACAACAGCGATACGCAGTGCATAGTGAATAGTAGTTGTCCATTTGTGGACACTGAGGTAGTAAGATGTAAGAATAGTGGTAGTTGTAAAGATAAGTTATGTAAGTCTCACAGATACAGTGGTAGTAAAGCAGTAAAGACACAGGTATGTGTTTTTTTCCCAGATCTGTTCTGACCTTCAGCGCTGCCTCGGAGGAGGACCTGGGCCTCTACACTGCAGAGATGATGGACAAGCCTGACATCTCCTCCAGCTTCAATTTCACCGCTGAAGGTATCCACCACTGCGATCTCTCTTCTCTCTCTGCCCAGACTAATATCTGACCAAATAACACAGCTGCTGCATCACTGCATCTCCACTATTTTACACTCTTTTCTATTTGAATAGGAAGCTAATCGTCTTCTTTATTTACAAGCATGTAAAAGCTCTGAGAGCTACAAACGGGGTGGGAAATTTACAGGGACACTGCACTTGAGTGAAAGTATGGATACTATGTTGAAATCTTAAACATCAAATCTCAGTACTTAATGAAAAGTGCAGGCATCTACAATAATCTCAAACTCAATGAAAAGTGAAAGGATCTATGATGAACATATATCTAAAAGTACAAAGTAAACTAAAGTAAAACTTCCTTAATTGAATTAAAGGAACTAAAACTTGTTTGATTGTTGAGCAAAATAAAATAACAAAAAAAAATCTTGAGTGAATTTTGGCCTTAAGTTTTCCATTTACCATTAGTGAGTTGATTAAAACCTCTTTAGGAAAATGTTTATGGGGAAAGTGAAAAACATCCATGACTGTATTCGACAATTTAGACCCTAAGCTCAAATTTCAACACTGAGGTTTTTGACAGCTGCGAAAATTGAAACTTAAATTTACAGCTTTAACTTCATCCCTTAAACATTTCAACATTTCTCTTAAGATAAGTACTTAAGATGTTTTACCCAAGTGACCACACGCCTTTAAGATCTGTACTTTGACTTTGTAGTAGAGGTCTGCACTCCTGTGGGATTCCCGCTGGACCCACCACAATGTCTTGCGGCACGGGACTAATTTTCAGTGTCGTGCACGGGAGCAAACAGGGTAACCAGCCCACTGCGGGCAGGAGCAGGACTAAATGTTTCGGTTGCAGGCACAAGCGGGACAAATGATGACGGTTTTCTGTGGGAGCGAGATGAAATCTTGCAGGAGTAGGACCGAAAAAGCCCTGTGCAGGCCTCTGCATTGAAGGTCTAAATTGGTAATTGAGTAAAAGTACAAGTATTAAATTTCAGTAATATTTCAGTAAAATACAAATCTTTCAAATGAAAGTAATAAAGTAAGATTGCTTAAAGCTTCATGGTACAAAAATCTATGCTTTCTTCAAAAGTAGGTTAATCTTGCTCTTGTAAGCACACAACAAACATGCATGTTCAAGCTGTGTGCTGTTAACAACTTTCCAGTAACCAACAAATAGCCAGTGGATTTCACTAACACTGTCCTTTTGATGTAAACTGAGCGGTCCTAATCTTGGACAGTGCATATGTGAGCAGCATCTTCACCGGTCACAAGGCTGACGTGTGTCCCGCCCACACAGCTTTAACAAAACAGCCGCCTTCTCTCTGTTCAAGCAGAGAAACTGAGAGAAAGCTAACCACCAAGCGAAAGCTGACCCAGCAAGCATAACTGAGCTATCTCATTTCTCGCTGCCTGTCATCTGCTTGTTTAAATGACCATGCCAACATTCACTGGATGTATTTCCAGCAATAAAGTGAATAAGAAACCTTCTTTTAGACATTGCTATATAACAGCTGGACAGTGTTTTTAGTGAGTGGACACAGCAGGTCTACAACACCACCTGTATATGGTGAATGTAAAGCAAGTTCCACTCATTTCTCCACTCGTGCTTGTTTAGTTCTGTTTCAGTGGTGTAACAGGCTGGGACTGTAGAACTCAGGACTGTCATTCAAGCCTGCTCATTAGAATATTAGGCCACGCCCAAACAGTTCTTAGATATGTCTGATAAGCATTAAGCTGTGTGTTGTTACAGCTCTGTCTTGTTTTTTCATTCAAACTTTGCTGGATGTCTGATATAACACTCAGTTTTAGTCTAAATTTTAGTCTAAACATTTTAATAACATTTTCAAACTTACATTGTCCCCTGGGACTTTTTTACACCTCTGCCCCACTGTTTACTTTTATCATTTTTATACCAGCTTCTCTGTTTATATTAGAAAGTAATTTTAAGCATTGAAGCATTTGATCAAAGTTTCTTTGAGATTATGAAAAACATACATTCAGTCAGGTTTTGACTGGAATGTTATTCTTCACTGTGAAAATCTGCAGTACACTGCAAAAAATGAGATCTTGGCATGTGAAATGATCTTAAATCTAGTGGATATATCTGATATTCTTCATGCTGAGATTGTTGGAAGCTTATTATAAGATTATTAAATTTATTGCTAGATATTTTTATGTGTTTTGAGTAATTTGAGTAAAAGTATCTCACTATAATGGCAGATAATTTTGCATTAAGAAATGTGCTTAAAACAAGCAAAGTTATCTGCCATTTTTACACTGCAAAACATATCTCAGCGAGTGAAAACATCTTAAGTCTAGTCAAGATATCTAATATTTCTCATTATGAGACTGTTGTAAGAATATTATAAGATTATTTAACTCATTTCTAGATTTTCTTTACTTGTTTTAGGTCATTTTGTCTTATGAAAGTGTCTTATTCCATTGGCTGATCATTTGACTCGTTTTAAGCTTTATTTCTTAAAATAAGCAAAATTATCTTCAATATTTTTTTAAACAAGTAAAATAATCTGCATGTAATAAGACACTTTCGTAAGATAAAAAGAAGTAAAAATATCTAGAAATAAGTTAAATATTCTGACAACATCCTGACAACAATCTCATAATGAGAAATATTAGATATAATGGTCAGATTTAATACGTTTTCACTTACTAAGGTGCCTTTTTTGCAGTGTACTCAATAAAATGACTTTAAACGAGTAAAAAACATCTAGAAATAAGTTAAATAATCTTATAATATTCATACTGCCACCTCAAAATGAGAAATATTAGATATTTAGACTAGATTTAAGATGATTTCTCTCGTTAAGATGTCATTTTTTTGCATTGTATGTTGACAGTGTTCTTTCAGTGTTCTCCGATCTCCAGCAGGTAGAGCAGCTAGAGCGGAGCTGCAGGTTGATTCTGCACAGATTGGGCTGCGCTAATCCCACACTGAGGCCCAAAGCAGACTGCATAACCTTGTTTTGATGGCAGGGGGATTGTGGGAGATTGAATTTGACGTTGCAATTGTGTCTCGTCTCACAGATCTGGAGAGGATGATGGAGCTGAGCTGGCAGATCAGAAACCCATGTAAGTGAAAGAATGCATGGCTGAAGGAGGCCCACAGCAGAATTTGGTCTGTATTGAATCTGTGGGTCACATCGAGGGCCGCAGTGCAGCTTTGTTATTAGAATATTTCTGTTATAGTACTGTATGTATAACACTGTATGAAGGTCATCACTGTTGTATAAACTCCATTGGGATTTACACCTTTTGAAAACACCAGATGAGCCAATACCAGCTTCCAAATGGCATTTTTAAAGTTCACTCCTCAGTACATGCAGAACGTACAAGGAAACCACACTGTGAAAGCAGCCTGTTATTTACCCTTGTGTTGTGTTCAGGTCTGTGGGACCCATTTTCAATGTTTACCAAAAGAAAAAATGATGTGATTTATTATTATTTCAACCTCAGATTCTTGTCCTTTGCTAATTTTCTGTGAAGAACATATAAAATAACTCATTTTCGGTCTTCACACTGTTCACCCCCCACACACTTATATTACACATGTGGTGTTGGGTGAACCTGCGGGGAGTAAAAGTGTGGAGGTGCTGTGTCCTTCACTCTGTTCTCCTACATGGCCTGCTGTTAGTGTGTGTGTCTGTATATGTGTGTGTGTGTCTGTGTGTGTGTGTGTGTGTGTGTGTGTGTGTGTGAGTGTGTGTGTGAGGATGGAAAACATGGACAGGCTGCTGACTGGCTACAGCTGCTAAAGGAGAACCCTACGCTGGACATTTGTGATATTTTAAACATCTGATATTTTTACAGAAATTGTTATGGCTGTATTGATTTAATAAACAATAATGTGGTGGGTCCACCAGACCACTGAGTAACAAACACTTCAACACCACACAAGGGTTAAATGCTAAATATTATAATGTAATTATCTATTTACACTAATTCGTTGAGAAGTTATCTGCTTCAAGATTTGCTCTCCACTTTTGAAATAGAGGCATCACTCTGGATATTATAGTTTATTAAAACTTAATGAACTCTGTTCATCCCTCTGTGTGTGTTTCTCTCGGTGTGCAGTGATTGGTCTGCGGTCTGAAGGCTGGCAGGTGGACGTGTCGGAGCAGGGGGCCGTTCGGTTGTGGCTGCAGACCGAGCCTCTGTCCAGCACTGCTGAACTGCGCATGATCCTCAATGACAGAGAGATATCCAGCACACCAGTAATAATACACAAATCATGAGCTCTGTATTCAGAGTTAACTGATATTTGCCATATTCACTGGTCTACAGTACATTCAGTAATACAGTAATTCACTGTGGAGTAGAGTTCTAATGCTGTGTGTCCGTCTGCAGGCTCGTAAGATCAGCTTCGACAGGCCGAACGGTCTGGTGGAGATCGTGTTTGACCAGCTTTCCAAAGAGGACGAGGGCTCATACACAGCTCAGCTGAAGGACGGCCGGGCCAAAAACCAGTTCACCCTCGTCCTAGTGGACGAGAGTATGTTCAGATTGTTCTCATTGATTCTCTCTTTAGGACCCCCATGGTGTAAACGCCTCAAAATGTGTCTGCGTGCATTTTATATGCATTATCTCTCACTTGCAGAAAGAAAACAGCCATGTTTTTGTCATAGTTTGACTGAAAAAAGGCAGAACAGGATGTAAATGTGAATGTAATTCATATAAATAATTATGTATCATGTAGGAAAACAGCAACTCATCTTCTCAGGGTTAAAAATTAAACAGCTCAGTGGTCAAAACTGAGCTTCCCCTGAACTTACACACAGCAATATTAGCACAAATCCTCAAATAAAACTGGTCTGTTAGTTGCAGCTATAACTGATTGAGGCTTTATAAGCTGATCACACAGTTGAATCCCCAGTGTTGAATGAAATTGTACAGTGTTCCTTTGTGTTTGGCTGGGTTTTAATTCAACGCTGAGGATTTTGCTGTGTGATCAAAGTTCACTGTCAGTTTCAACACTGACATTTGTGCAGATTTAGTCCTGACCTGCTCTTTTCTTTTTGATCTGATCATTTGGCAGAGTTCAAGCAAACCCTGGCCAAATCGCAGGCCAAAAGACGGGACTGGAAGAGGCGGGCAGGTGAGTGTCCGAGAGCTCGAGACCCCGTCACTGCCAGGGTTACCAGATAGTTAAAAACTTGGCTAGATGCATTTCAGTTAGGCAGCATTCTGGCCCCTAATACTACACGCTTAAAAAGACAGTTCTTCAAGGGTTCTTTAGTAAAGAAAACGGTTCTATATAGAAAAATGAACACTCAGAAAAACCCTTTGCATGATTAAAGGGTTCTTTGCATCATTAATGCATCATCAGTTCTTCAGATTGATGGAGAATGTGTTTTATATGGTTTTATATAGAACTAAAAAAGGTTCTTCTGTTGTTACAGGCTTGACATCGTAACAATAGAAGAACCCTTTTGGGTGCTATATAGAACCCTTTTCAAAAGAACCATCTACAGCACATTCTCCATCAATCTAAAGAACACTTTAATGATGCCAAGAACCATGCAAAGGATTCTTTGAGTGTTCATGGTTCTGTATAGAACTTTTTTGAAAAGGGTTCCACATAGCACCAAAAAGCGTTATTCTAATGTTACAGGCTTGACATCGTAAATATAGAAGAACCCTTCTGGGTGCTATATAGAACCCTTTACAAAAAAGTTCTATATAGAACCATCTACAGCACATTCTCCATCAATCTGAAGTGCTCTTTAATGATACAAAGAACCCTTTAATCATGCAAAGTGTTCTTTGAGTGTTCATGGTTCTATATAGAACCACTTTCTTTACTAAAGAACCCTTGAAGAACCGTCTTTTTCGTGTAGAGTATATTGCTTTTACAACAGTAATAAACTGTTCGTAGTTGTGCACTAAATGGGTGTAATAATGTATCGTATTGTGTTATATTGTGTTGTCATGGTGAGGTCACAGCTAGCACCTCTTAACATTCCAGTCTTATTACATACTAAGGCTTATAATTCATTAACTACAGGGATTTCAGTGCAAACAAATAGAGCTTTTCTTAGGTTATAGAAGTGTGTAATAAAACTTGGGCCCCAAATGAGAAAACTGATACCAAACTGAGACCCGAGTGGAAAATTACTACTAAACTATAAGGCTGGGAAATCGCTCAGCAATGCAGGCAGTGTTCCCTCCCCTTTCTACTTCATGTTTGTCCTGTCAATAGCACATTAGTTGGACTGATTCACATGTTTTGATTGGTTTAATGTGTAATATGTGAGTATTTGGGTCTACACTGTTAGAAATAAAGGTTCTGTCCAGGTACATTTTTCTTCGTCAAGGTACAAACAATGTAAATGTTCCCTCAAAGGTACAACAGTGGTTTTAAGGTCTGATTGTGAAGAAATAAGTTTTTCCAGGTGAAAAGTTCGTATTTGTACCTTTTCATAATCGAATGTTTTAAAACAGAACAGTAAAATAAAAGCCTGGAGACGTGACGGGGTGTGTGGAGTCAGTACAGCTTAGAAAATATCATTTCAGTGGATTATGGTTCAGTTATGTTCCCTGGCTGAAGGTACTGAGATGGACCCTTGAGGGGACCACCCCAGTGACAAGAGGGGCACTGCCCCAGTGACAGTTTCATCATATATATATATTTTCTGACAGTGTATATCAGCTTGTACTGCATACTTTCAGACAGCTGTATATAATAAAGGATGTGGCTGTTAATGCACTGGAAACTTCACATCAAGTCCAATGTGTCTAAGTAGTACACTCTCAGAAATAAAGGTACTAAACTGTCACTGGGGTGGTTCCCTCAAGGGTCCATCTCAGTACCTTTAGTCAGGGAACATAACTGACTAACATAACATGACTTAACATAACATAACATGACTTTTATTTTACTGTTCTGTTTTAAAACATTCAGTTATGAAAAGGTACAAATACGAACTTTTCACTTGGAAAAACTTATTTAAGGTTCACAATCAGACCTTTAAACCACTGTAGTACCATTGAGGGAACATTTTCATTGTTTGTACCTTGATGAACAAAAAAGTGCACCTGCACTGAACCTTTATTTCCAACAGTGAAACGGTGATGAATGAAACTTCGTTATTAGCCTGTTGATTAAAACATCAGCAACACAGAAAAACAACATTAATATGCCTCCTGAAAAAGGAAGAATGGAGGTGGTGGAGAAAAAAAGCATGATTTTTAACACAGTCCAGCCAAAAGCATATCAGTTTGGTGCAAAAACACCCAATCTGGCAACCCTGGTTGCTGCACAAATGAGGGCAGCTGAGCACCAACCCCGCAGAGGCAGAAATCAGACCAAAGCACAAAGTTAATATGCAGTTCAGGCCTGAGGAGTGTGCCTTCTAAATGTATTCCATTAGAGATTAGCTGATTAAAATTGTAATACAGTAATGTAAAGGATTACCCATCAGTCTCTGTAATGTAATCTGGTCACATTTCATTAAATGTGAATTAGTTTCCACTTTAAGGCTATGTATTAAGAATAAAATGTGCTGTTATGAGTTCATCCACTGGCAGCCGTCCCGCTATCACAGTGCGACACATTTTAATGCTCATTTGAGATTTCTTTTATTCATATTTTCATATTTCTAACCTTCTCATTCCAGTAGAAAACCGAAATGGTGATATTAGGTGTTATCAGAACATGTGGCAGGGCTGATTCAGGAAATATTAAATGCAAATGCACTACTGCCTATAAACTAGTGTGTGGGATAGCTACAACAAAATGCTAAATGCTCCATGATGTACTTTGTTTTTCCTCTAAAGGGCCCCACTTTGAGGAGTTTTTGTCCTGGACTGTGACGGAGGACTGTGAGATGATTATGAAATGCAAGGTCATGGTGCTATTGATTTGCTGCATGCACATTTGAACACATTCATTTCGTACCTGGGGCTTTAATATAGAGGCCGCAAAGTGGTGTTGAGGTCATTTCCACTTCAAATAGGCAGTAGCCAATTCGGTCAACTGGCAATTAAGTCTTTAATGAAATTCACTAATACTAGTGTAAATATGAAGGAATTAACATCTCACAGCATGATTTTTACTTATTAATACTAATTTAATTAGCCTTGAATTGAATCTCTTTTCTGAATTGTACAGAACTGTGCAAAAGTCAGATACTACCTTTTGTTTTTTTCATTTCTAGTCACAAGTTATTAATTTTCAGGGGATATTTCTGAGAATATTAGATATAAGATAATCTATTTGCGTAATGGGGGTGGGGGGGGGGTCAGCATGAAAAACCAGCAGTTTCCAAAAACTGAAGTTCAGAAACTGATTAAAAGCTGTAGAGAAAACAGGCCTCCTAACAACCACCTGGAAGAGCTGGTAGATACCAAAACTGCCCCCATCAGATAAACAGCTCTTAAAGCTTTCATCTCTGAGAGAGAGGAGAAAATCAAGCTGCTTCAGATCTGAAAACATCCACAGGTGTTTCTGTCCATCCTTCCACTGTGAGAAGACGACTCAGCGCTGTGGGTCTGAAAGGATGTGTAGCTGTTCAAGAAGAACCTCACTGAGAAAAGGAGACGGACACATCAAACAAAGAAGCTGAACGATGGACTGACCACCCCAGAGTCCAGACCTCAACACCACTGAATGTGTTTGATTACTTCAGAAAATGATCAACCAGCTTCTAAGACTGAACTTTGGAGGTGTGTCTGCAGATTCTTTGAGGAGCTGAAAGTGAGCCTCCTGAAAGAATGGAAGCTGGAATAAAGGGAAAGAGTGACTCACTGAACACTCAGACAGCTGAGATTAGATTTAGTCGTCAAATGACTTTTGCACAGTACTATGATTAATTGATGGCCTCATTCCCAAAGTGTGTATTATTCTAATATTCCTGATGTACATAAATACCTCTGCCAGATTATGATAATCACAGACAAAAACTGATCCTGGATCAGCTTTTCTTCCCTTCACAAACGCAGGTGACGAATGTGAGCAAGGACACAAAGCTGAAATGGTTTAAAGATGGTATGGAGATCACGAAGGCTGTGTTAGAGCCATCTGGAGTCAGCACTTTTACTGTGCCTCAGGTACCTGCCTCAAACTGACTCACAACTACTAGCATAGATGAACTATAGCCCAGCTAACCTTGCTAATAATATATGAAAACTAGTGAAGGTGAAATAGCATAATGATCATAGTACTGCATTTAATTTACTTGACTTAAATGTATACATTATTTACACAACAATAAAATATGTAACATTCACACAATTACTGCCCAAGCCTAGTAAATTAAAAGACAAAACTGTGTTGATTTATGTGACAATTGTGCACACGTTTGACTCGGTGCCTTTATTTTACTGTGCGTTAATCTAATCTAATCCATTCAGTTACACTAACATTGCTGAGAGGAAGATGTTTGCTGTTCTAAAACTATATTTATACCATGATCCTGTTTGATTCGGCTTTAAAGGTGACAAAGAAAGAAGCCGGCGTGTACAGGGCTGTGGTTTCTGACAGCAGAGGAGAGGACGAGAGCATATTGGAGTTACTGGACACAGGTGAGAGATTAGAAAGAAATATGGCTTCTGCTTCTAAACTGGCTTTAACAGTCAGCTTACAGTTACATTACAAACACCATATTAGACATGTATATATCACTAACTGGCCACTTTGTCAGAAACACCTACCTTGTGCCTCCACTAACTGGCCACTTTATTGAAAACACCTACCTTGTGGGTCCAGTAACTGGCCACTTTATTAGAAACACCTACCTTGTGCTTCCACTAACTGGCCACTTTATTAGAAACAAAAAGCTTGCACTTTTTTTCACTGGCCACTTTATTAGAAACACCAACCTTGTATTTCCACTAACTGGCCACTTTATTAGAAACACCTACCTTGTGCTTCCACTACCTGGCCATTTTATTGGAAACACCTACCTTGTGCTTCCAATAGCTGGCCACTTTATTGAAAACACCTACCTTGTGTTTCCACTATCTGGCCACTATATTGGAAACACCTACCTTGTGTTTCCACTATCTGGCCACTTTATTGGAAACACCTGCCTTGTGCTTCCACTAAATGGCCACTTTATTAGAAACACATACCTTGTATTTCCACTAACTGGCCACTTTATTAGAAACACCAAGCTTGTACTTCTACTCACTGGCCGCTTTATTAGAAACACCAACCTTGTACTTCCATTAACTGGCCACTTTACTGAAAACACCTACCTTGTATTTCCACAAACTGTCCACTTTATTGGAAACACCTACCTTGTGTTTCCACTAACTGGCCACTTTTTTAGAAACAGCTGCTTTGTCACTGTTGATCCTACAAATGACTTGTAGTGAAATATTTGGCTTAAACTGCACCAAGAAACACTGCATACAGCACAGATTGTCATCAGCCATCAGCAGACAATCATAATGCTTGTAATTACTGAATACATTCACATTGTGAAATTCAAATCTATTCATTTTTGCAATTGTTTCCTTTTAATTATCTTTTCAGAGTTTGACAAGCTGATGCAGCGGCTGAGCAAACAGTGCGGTAGGTTCACAAGAAACCAGAGAGCCTCTCACATCAGCTTTAACACTGAGCTTCATGCTTTTTTTATAAAGCAATGACTGTGGCTCTGCTGCCTGAGTTGAACCCGCCCCCATCCCCCTCCCCCCCGGTCCTCTGTCTGATCTACAGCTCTCTCTGCTGGTCCCCTGGGGATCCAGTGCACAGCGACGGGCTTCAAACTCTACTGCTCTCTGAAGTACTATCTGAGCTACATGAAGACTAGTTGGTACTTCAAGTGAGTTCCTTTTGTCCAGAGATCCAGCTCCAGGCACTCAGAGCAGAGTGCTGCTGGTTTGTGTGGCTTCACAAAGCAAGCGTTTGATTTTTAGCCCAGTGCAGACAAGAAAAATCTGTTTTAGTGAGACAAAACTACAAACCAAAGCCTCTATTTTTTGTACAGTGCTAATAAATCTGTTCAAGTATTCAAATGAAAATGACTGATAAACAAGGATAACCTTGCTAATAAGCACTACAAGTCAAAAGTCACCCAAATCTTTTGCGTAAATACATCTCCAAAACTTCTCTCAACCCACTCAAACTGCATTCAGGTGTTCATTAAGATCACACAGACGTATCGATGTGGTTTAGGATGGAGTATGACTTACTGTGAGCTATAAAAATGAACAAAAGTCAATGAGTGTGTTTATATGCACTTAATAATCCGCAGCTGCAGAAAATCTGATTTTGTCAGTAATCCGATCATCGCGTTTACATGCACTTGGGTAATCAGATAATGGGGAAACTCCAGGTCTACATGAGTCAGACAGTAATCAGATTTATGCTTTACAACCAGCCAATAAACTCACAGAAGAAGACGTGAACATAAAGTAAAACTCAAGCTTCATACCGTGGCTTTAAAAAAAAAAACATCGAGCCACTTTACCTGAAAATATGAACATACATCATCTAGAAGATGAAGAAAATTTAAATCCTTCATTTCGTCAAGCATGTATTTGGTTTCAGCGTCGCGCCTAAAGTGTTTTTCTGCGTCTCGCGGCGACGCTGCCTGCTTATTTCCGGTACCACCATCTGTTTTCACACATGCGCAGACTGAGAAATCCGAAAGAAATCAGAGTAAGAGTTCATATGCACTGAGAAATCTGATTACTGAGCTAAAGTCCAGTTCTCTTTATCGGATTTCTTAATCGTATTTCTAGATCAGAGTATGCTGTTTACACAACCATTTGAATAATCAGATAACTGCAGAAATCCGATTATGATCAGATTATTGAGTGCATGTAAACTCACTCACTGTGTAGCTGAATTTGGCCGCACTGGGCAGCCACATTTACAGCAGGTGTTGTGGCGAATTCCAGCTCGTCTTCGTGTGCACACATCATGTTAACGCTACAGATTACATTCACATACTGTTAACCCTGTATGTTTTAACTGAAGATATGTGTTTATGAATAGAAACAACTGAAACTGTAAATGTAATTTGGCGTGCACACCCGGGGGAGTTGGATTCTGCAAGGGAGTCTTAATTTGGCACAACACCTGGCCGCCCACGGTGTTCAGCTACATGGTTAAGTTTTATTTGTTTTAATTCTTCACAGTAAGTCATACTGTGTCCTAAACCACATCAACAAATCTGAGCCACCTTAGTGAAGAGCTGGAAGTTTTCTTACAGAAAAGATTTGGGTGACTACTGACTTAACATTAGCCTCATAACACCAGCACTAAGCTACAGAACAGAAATCAGACACCAAACATGTCTTGGCAGATTGACCATGATGTCCAAATTATATTTTACACTAACACCTTCCTTTAGTGATCTTTTAATGTGTGACAGAGAGAAGAGGATCGATCAGGAGGAGAGGACCAAGCCTGGCAGCAGTATGCAGAAGGTCTGGATCGAGATATTCAACCCCACTGAAAACGACAAAGGGAAGTATACCCTGGAGATGTTCGATGGCCAGGAGACACATAAACGCGTTCTGGATCTGTCTGGACAAGGTACAGCCGTGTGCTGTTACACATCACAGTCAGCCTGAGAGCGACACAGTGACATCAGACCTTCCCAGTGGGGTTTTAGTACGACATGGGGAGAAAAGACAATACTAACCAACCATGGAGTCTTCAAAATTGATTAACCCCTTGCGTAATTGACAAACCTGTAAGAAACCACTGTAGATGCCACAGAACAAACACACAGGGGTTCTAGTGATGTCACAGGACAAACTGTAGGATAATCACACAACAATCTTGGTGATGCCAGAGCACAAATCCATAGAAATCCTGTAGACGCCCACAGGACATGCCTAGAAATCCTAATGATGCCATAATGATGACAAATTGTAATCATATGACAATCACACACAAATTCCAATGATGTCATAATAAAATTTTGTACAAATTCTACTGATGCCATAATAAAATCGCACACAAATTCTAGTGGTCATAATAAAATCTTACACAAATTCTAGTGGTCATAATAAAATCGCACACAAATTCTAGTGATGTCATAATAAAATTGAACACAAATTCTAGTGATGTCAGAATAAAATTATACACAAATTCTAGTGATGTCATAATAAAATTATACACAAATTCTAGTGATGTCATAATAAAATCGCACACAAAATATAGTGATGTCATAATAAAATCGCACACAAATTCTAGTGATGTCATAATAAAATCTTACACAAATTCTACTGATGCCAAAATAAAATTGCACACAAATTCTAGATGTCATAATAAAATTGCACACATTCTAGTGATGTCATAATAAAATCTTACACAAATTCTAGTGGTCATAATAAAATCGCACACAAATTCTAGTGATGTCATAATAAAATATTACACAAATTCTAGTGATAGTCATAAAATCGCACACAAATTCTAGTGATGTCATAATAAAATATTACACAAATTCTAGTGATAGTCATAAAATCGCACACAAATTCTAGTGATAGTCATAAAATATTACACAAATTCTAGTGATAGTCATAAAATCACACACAAATTCTAGTGATGTCATAATAAAATCACACAAATTCTAGTGGTCATAATAAAATGTTACATAAATTCTAGACACACACAGGACATGCATAGAAATCCTAGCGATGCTGTAGGACAATCACACAGAAACTGAAGTGATGAAATAGAACAAATGCATACAAACTCTAATGGTGGCACATGACAACTGCACAAAAAAATCTGCTTAGATTGCTTAGAAGTCCTAGTGATGCCATGTGAAAATTTCACACAAATTCTAGTGACGCTGTAGGACAGATAAAAATTCTTTACAGTAGACACCACAGAGGCCATGCTTAGAAACTGTATAGATGCCATAGGACACATGTATAGAAATCCACACCACTAACACATCACTATCACCATCACCAGGCCAGAAAGCAGCATGCCTTGGAAAAAAAAAAACTGACTGGCAACAGCCCCATCTGGTGGACAGAAAAAAGCTGGGCTTTTTGAAGTCAGCTGACGTCTAACACCTCAAACCTCAGCTTACAATCTACAAATGCTAGATGCTGCATGTTCTCCACTCTACTTTTACATGGGAGTCATGTGCGGTGACACAGGGCTCAATCGCTTGCATGGATTTTTTTTTTTTATTACCAAGGATTAGAAACAGCATAGCAGATTTGGATTAGTGTATCTGTGCTGTACATGTTCTGAGGTGTTTTCAAATGTCTCATCTCTGTGCTCTGTTTTCTCTGAAGCCTTTGCAGATGCTCTACTGGAATACCAGAGGCTGAAGTAAGTGTCATTTGGGCAAATCCTTTTGCACACTAATCTGTCATATTATTATGATTAATAATTCAAGATCTCAAGGTAAATTATGAGGATTTTATTGTGTTTGCAGGTAGTAATATGATTTACGTATAATACCTTTTTCACTTATTCCCTTTTCCGCAGACAAGTGGCGATTGCTGAGAAAAGTAAGTATTCGTTTAAGGGAATGAGATGCCATAGGACAAACGCATGGCAATACAAACAAACAGAAGTGTTATGCTCAGAGTAGGACAAACACAAAGCAGCCACCACAGGAGAATATAGATATAGACATCCTATACGACACCACAGGACAAAGTCATACAGCGCTGCTTGAAGGTTTGTGAACCCTTTATCATTTTGTAAATTTCTACATAAATGTGGCTTAAAATATCATCAGATCTTTCTTTTAACTCATAACAATAGATAAAGAGAACCTAGTAAAACATATAACACAATAACTATATAGTTTTTATATACTTTTTTTATATACCTTTAACAGCAGTGACTTCAACCAAACAGTTCTTGTAACTGTTTTGAGCCCTGAACATTGACTTGGAGGAACCTTGGCCCGTTCCTCCTTACAGAACTGCTTCTACTCTGTTGTGTTGGTGGGCTTTCTTGCAGGAGCGCCACACTTTAGGTTCTGCCTCAACATTTCTGTCAGATTAAAGTCTGGATTTTGACTCAGCCATTCCAAAATGCAACACTTCTTCTGCTTTAACCATTCTACGTGTTTGTCATCACAGGATAAACACTTAGAAATCCTATAAACACCACAGGATAAACACTTAGAAATCCTATAAACACCACAGGATAAACACTTAGAAATCCTATAAACACCACAGGACAAACACTTAGAAACCCTATAAACACCACAGGATAAACACTTAGAAATCCTATAAACACCACAGGATAAACACATAGAAATCCTATAAACACCACAGGACAAACACGTAGAACTCCTATAAACACGCCAGGACAAACACGTAGAAATCCTATAAACACTACAGGACAAACACATAAACATCCTATAAACACCACAGGACAAACACATAGAAATCCTACAAACACCACAGGATGAACACAAAGAAATCCTATAAACACCACAGGACAAACACATAAAAATCTTTTAAACACCACAGGACAAACACTTAGAAATCCTATAAACACCACAGGACAAACACTTAGAAATCCGATAAACACCACAGGACAAACATATAGAAATCCTATAAACACCACAGGACAAACATTGGAAATCCTATAAACACCACAGGACAAACACATAAAAATCATATAAACACCACAGGACAAACACATAGAACCCCTATAAACACCACAGGACAAACACATAGAAATCCTATAAACACCACAGGACAAACACATAAAAATCCTATAAACACCACAGGACAAACACATAGAACTCCTACAAAACACCACAGGACAAACACGTAGAAATCCTATAAACACCACAGGATAAACATAAAAATCCTATAAACACCACAGGACAAACAAATAAATATCCTAGTGACTTCATAGGACAAAGACATGGAAATTCTATAGACACTGCAGGACAAACATGTAGAAATCCAATGGACACCAAAATACAAACACTTAGAAATCCTATAAACACCACAGGACAAACACATAGAAATCCTATAAACACCACACGACAAACACAAAGAAATCCTATAAACACCACAGGACAAACACATAGAAATCCTATAAACACCACAGGACAAACACTTAGAAATCTGATAAACACCACAGGACAAACATATAGAAATCCTATAAACACCACAGGACAAACACGTAGAACTCCTATAAACACGCCAGGACAAACACATAGAAATCCTATAAACACTACAGGACAAACACATAAACATCCTATAAACACCACAGGACAAACACATAGAAATCCTATAAACACGCCAGGACAAACACATAGAAATCCTATAAACACTACAGGACAAACAC